GTGTCTCCTTGAATTTACCATTAAAACTTAGTGCCATGGCTGGGGAGATAGCTCAGCAGCCTAAGCACCTGCTGGCAAGCGCAAGGACCCGGGTTCAATCCCCAGTACCGCATGCCATGCCACCCCAAAATCCCCACATGCCGTGCCTGCCACAGAAATTGGGCATGGTAGCACACATTTGTAATACCAGCTCTGGGGAGGCTGAGACAAGAGGATCACTATGAGTCTGAGCTGCATAGCAAGACCCTGTAACTAACTAACTAACTAATTAATTAATTAAAATATTTTATTTTTAAAATAATGCAGTGCCCTGACTGTCTGCCTATCTGTGGCCCCACACCCACCTGAAGCATGCAGCTACTTGTTGAGCCCTTCCTCACCTGCTAACTTCAGGGAGGGACAATAGTCACCTGGGTTCAGCCCCCACATCTAAGCTCAGGCTGCCCAGGAGCAGACACCCTTCCCACGTCCCACTTCTCCTCTGTGTCCTTGGGAAAGTCATGTCCCTTCTCTGGCCTCTTTCCCATGTGTAGGAGGAGGGTGGACTAACTGATCCTAGCCTGTCCTATTGCCCTGTTCTCACCCTGCTGCAAAACTACTTTGTATGTCATGTTTATGCACCGAAGTCCTATGGCTATACACATCCAACCCCCACCTAATCCTCATCAGTGATACTCAGATAATGCTGATCTTCATCAATAATACACAGCCCAGGAAAACAAAAGGTGGGTCTCTTTTTAAAAGCCAGATGCCTCCTCCCTTCTAGGCTTCCTCCCTCTTGTTCTCAAGCACCAGACTCCAGAATGGGAATCTTGCTTTGATTTTAACCAATCTACCTGGCAGCCCACCTATGTGGTCTTTGGGGACTAGAAAAAGCTGGCTATTAGACAGCCGTGACTGCGTGCATGTGCAGCAGAAAGAGAAGCACGGTGCCGACAGCAGGTGACGGGGATTTCTGAAACCCAATGCTACCATGCAAATGAGATCAGCCCAACATAGGAATAGACAACCAAGTTGAGATGGGTGGGGGGCACATCCGCCTGGCCCTGGAGCCCCAGCGGGGCACAAGGGCTTCCTCTAGAAAGAGCAGGACTACTGGAGGTTATGGCTAGAGTTGGGCAGGGGCCCCTGTGTGCCCAAGCAGCAGGGGTGGGGATTAGAGCCGGACGCCCTGCTGTCATGTTAGAGCTGATGGATCGACACTGGTGGTGGAGCACAAAGACTGTTCTGTGCTTGGCACCAATGTGTTCCTATCCATCAGAGGGCAGCCTGTGCGGGCGGAGGGGTGTGCACAAGAGGAAAACCAAGCCCCCGAAATGTGGCTCCTCCACAGTTTTGGCAGAGGACAGAACAAGATGGGAGAGGAGACAGTCTTCCCATCGGGGTTCTGAGGAAAAGCACCCCGATCACCACTGATGGTGTCAGTCCTGAGAATATCTGTGTTCCACAGTAGGCCTTGACACAGCCCTGGGCCACCTTACTCAGAAATACACAAACACCTCTACAAAGGGCTCTGCAGAGACCCAGACACCCAGGGTCACCCTAACCTGCCAGCCCTGCCCTCGTGTTAGGTCAGAGGCAAACATCATGCAGACGCAAGGCCAAACTCACACCCAACACAGCTTCCTGGAGACAAGGGCTGTGTCTATTGGCTGCTCTTCCCAGGGTCTGGTTCCAGCAAGGGGGACACAGAGTAGGTGCTCAGTAATTAGGTGCTGAGCAGAGGCAGGAGCAAACAAATCAGTTCCTTCTTTGGAGTATTTGGGTACTTTTCCCAGCATGCTCTCATTACCTAAAACTGCCTACGTTGGGTTGGTGACTCTGCGTCCCCATCTCTCAGCCAACTGTGAGTGTGATCACGGCAGGAAGGCTGCATATTCACATCCGTGACTTTGGCACCTGGCACACACGTGGTGCTCAACACACATTTCTTGACTAAAAGAATAAATGAATATCCACACATGGAAGGCAAGATTGGTTCTCCCTCCCATGGTCCCCTGGAGGCAAAGGGACAACCTGGTAGAGAGGGCTTTGGAGTTGATGGCTCAAGAGTAGAGGAAAGGACCAAGCAAGAAATGGGCCTCATATTTATTGAGTGTTTCCATGTGCCAGGGGCCCTTTCATTTAGCACAACCCCCCACACACACACAATCTTCCTTTGCCAGCCTGAAACAAGCATCCTTCCCCAGCCCAATCCACCGCCCACCTCTGAGACCTTCATCATCATATCCTACTCCTGAATTACTCTCAGGGTGGTCCAAGCGGCCACTCTGCCTAAGTCTCCAAGCCTAGTTGAGATTGCTCCCATCTTTTCAGCCTTGTCTCCAAGGCCAATCAAATTATACCCCCTGAGCTCCATACCAACTCATCTACCCAGTACCCCCTCACCTTCTCTCTTCCTGTCCAAACCCTCCCAACTCTGATACTGGCCCAACTCACTCCTCCCAGTCACTCTAGAGAGTCCACCCTGCAGCTGTTTTGTCATGCTAACAAAGTCCTAAAACACTTTTGACAGACCCACTTGTTTGGAAGTACTTAAGTTACTTGCTGACTGCAGAATGAACATGGCTTTCCTTCGCCTCTTGTAACTAAGCATGCGAGGTTCTGGGTCCCAGCTCACCTCCCAGTCAACAAGGTCCTAGGAGCCAGCACAAAACAGGCCCATTCTGCCTTCCTGTTAGGAAAAGACAGTGTTCAGGAGTTACTCCGACTGCATCCCAATTGGATGAAAGATGGCACTGCTGGGTTGCCATAGTAATTCTGCCATCATTCTTTTCTCAGGGCTTGTGGGATTAGAGTGGAAATCAAGGCAAGGCTGTTTAGGGTTTTTTTTCTTTTTCTTTTTGAGGTGAGGATATAGAATAAAGAGCTTTCTTCTTTCTTTCTCTTGACTAAGAGAATAAATGAATATCCACACATGAAGGGCAAGATTGGTTCTCCCTCCCATGGTCCCCTGGAGGGAAAGGGACAACCCAGTAGAGAGGGCTTTGGAGTTGATGGCTTAAGAGTAGAGGAAAGGACAAGCAAGAAATGAGCCTCATATGTATTGGGTGTTTCCATTTCTATGGAGATAGAGTTTTCTTCAGCCTAGCTGGTCTAGGTCTGATCCGGGTTTAAAAGCCACAGCTCCATGCTGTGCTTCCCAGCACCCTGGTAAAGCCCAGATCCATATTAAGACCTCAGTGCTCCCTGAAACTTGCTTGAGGTTATTGTCCAGCTTCAACCCCTCCTAGCTCCCGCAGGATACTGGGGTTTTCCTGGTTCCTTACTGTGGATAAGGGGAGGAGGGAAAGTGAGTCCTTCCAATTCCATGCAGATCTCAGCTTCGGTCCTTCCTGAGTCTCCTTCATGAATCTACTTCCTTTTATTATCCTAGAAACAGGTTTTAGCTTATCAATCTCCTCTCCTGCAGGAACAGAGCTAACAAGATGGATCAGACTTAGTCTATAGGGTACTAGATTTTTTTTTTTTTAAGAATGCTGAAAAGATTGGGCATGATGGCACGCACCTGTTATCTCAGCTCTTAGGAGGCTATAAACAGGGGAATCACTACGAGTCCAATCTAGTAGTGAGACCCTGAACACACTGTAGACCCTTCCCTAAAATACCAAATAATAAAATAAAATAAAGAATGCTGCAAAACAAGACTACATGAGTACAGTTCAAAGCCCAGAATTTCTGAAGCTAGAGATTGATGGAACAAGCTACCTGCTGAGATCAACAGCAGCTGGACCGTGGCAACCTGGGAAGAGGATTTGGGCCTCAAGGTGGGTTAAACAGGGTGATCATCCTATGTGAGCATGTAGATGGAGGGTGAGGATCATGCCCTGGGTATCCTCAAAATGCCCAGCCCTGACCAAGCCCTGCCCACAGCTGACAGCTGAAGCCTGGCCACTACTTTGGGAGGAATTGGCCCTTTTAGAACCTGAGCCCTCCACAGCACGGATTGAGCCACCTGAAGATTACAGAGTCTCACCTCCACCTGACACCTGAGACCTGCCTGATGAGTGTGAAACCGATGACTCAGCCAGGAAGGGCAGAGGAACCAGCCAGGTGGTCCAGAAGCGAGAAGGTGCAAACAGAGAAGGGCTCTGCTTCCTGTCCTCTCCTGCTGCCATCCGCTGTGAGGAGCCAGAAAGATTCTAGTGTCAAACACGGCAGGAAACAGAGTAGAGGAGACAACATAGGATGGCAGATAAATGAATAACAGAGGGAGGAGACAGAGGACTTAATAGCGCTTGACCTTGTCACTGGGGAAGATAGCAATGTGTGGGCTGTAAATTCTGATCCTACTCTGACCCTGAACGGCTGTATTAGAGAGAAAGCCTTCCCCTGGCCTTTAATTTTTAAAAATCCTCTAAAGGAATACCTAAGATCAAAGCTACTTTGGAAACTGAGAGGTGGAGTCCACTTGTGCCTCTGAATTTGTCCTTCTTATCCCTGGGGACCCACCTGTGCCCCAAATTTCAAGCAATCTTCTTCTTTGGAGAGAGAAGTCTAAGGGGCTGACACAGAATAGTTAAAGTGCTGTCAAGAAGTGAGGACACAGAGTGACTCCTAAAGCCCCTCCCAGCCTAAGCCAACCCCTTCCATGTTCCCTTCTCCCCTGAACCCACCCTGCTACTTTGGGACTAGCAAGGAGGCAGCAGGCCTGTGCCCGCCTGGCCAGGAGTAATTGAAAGGAGCAGATGAGAGGGGGAATGTGTCCTCCCCCACCTCCTCTATCCCGCAGGGGCTGTCCAGAAATGAAAACTAATCAAATTACACCCAATGGCTTCCCGACCCGTGCACAGGAGCCACCCCAGCAGGGGCAGGCTGGCTGGGCTGGGTGGGGGCCACAGGGAGAGGGAAGGGGAATCACATCTAATCCACTGTAAACGTCTTGATGTGCAGCAACAGCTTAGAGGGGGGCTCAGGTTTCTGTGGTGTTGGCTATATTTATCTCTGGTTCCATGCCAGCAGGGAGGGTTTAAATGGCACCCAGCAGTTGGCGAGAGGGGCTGAAGGAGCTTGGGGGCCAGTGTCAGGAACAAGTCTTTTCCGACCCCATGGAGCTGTATGAGACATCCCCCTACTTCTACCAGGAGCCCCGCTTCTATGACGGGGAAAACTACCTGCCTGTCCACCTCCAGGGTTTTGAGCCACCAGGCTATGAGCGGACTGAGCTCAGCCTGAGCCCAGAGACCCGAGGGCCCCTGGAAGACAAGGGCCTGGGGACCCCTGAGCACTGTCCAGGTCAGTGCCTGCCATGGGCATGTAAGGTGTGTAAGAGGAAGTCTGTGTCTGTGGACCGGCGGAGGGCAGCCACACTGAGGGAGAAGCGCAGACTCAAGAAGGTGAATGAGGCCTTTGAGGCCCTGAAGAGGAGCACCCTGCTCAACCCCAACCAGCGGCTGCCCAAGGTGGAGATCCTGCGCAGCGCCATCCAGTACATTGAGCGCCTGCAGGCCCTGCTCAGCTCCCTCAACCAGGAGGAGCGCGACCTGCGCTACCGAGGCGGGGGTGGGCCACAGCCTGCGGTAAGTGGCTCCTCCACCTGCCCCAGGGGTAGGGCCCAAGGGAGGCCCCTGAACAGCCCAGGATGCCACAGAAGGGCTCACCAGAGGGTTGGAGCAAGTGCCAGGCAGGCCCTTGCTGGTCTGCAGGCCCCCTTCCTTTGTCAAAGGTGGCTTTCCTGGTAACCACCTGTCCCCCCTGCTCTTTCCAGATCAGGGCAGGGGGAGATGGGGGGGCTGGCACAGGACTGAGAAGGAGTCCAGGAGCAAGGCCACAGCCTGAGTGAGAGCTGACCTCCAAGCCTATGCTACAGCCTAAAGGGCCAAGCCAAGTACTCCCTGAAGAGTACCCCCTCCTCCATCCTGGGTGTGGCTAAGTAGACAAAGACCACCCTGTCTCATTAGAACCCCAATAGGTCTGCTCAGAAGTCACCCCTGTTGGGCTGCTCTGCTTAGTCACCCTTATCCCCTGGGTCAGGAAAGCCAGAGATCCCTTTAAGTGTGTACCCTATGAAGTCTAGGATGGAAGCCATGAAGTCCCGGAAGCAGGGACAGCAGTGTGACTATTCCAGGGCAGGGGTAGCCTGGGCTGGAGGGCCCCAGCCTGTGGCCCACCCTCCAAGCCCACTGCAACTCTGTGGGCTCAGGCAAGGCAGAGACCCTTCCAGGGATGGTTGGGCCCTGACCTTGGGCCTTGGCCCTGTTTGCAGGTGCCCAGTGAATGCAGCTCCCACAGTGCCTCCTGCAGTCCGGAGTGGGGCAGCGCACTGGAGTTCAGTCCCAACCCAGGCGGTGAGTGAGGCCTACCCTAACTTGATCCCTCAATCTCTTCCTAGCCCAGGTCCTCCCCTTACCTTAATTCCTGCTCCAGGCTTCTTCCCGAGGCTTCTCCGAAGACCTGCTGACCCATGGCCCCAAATGGAAGGCTGGGAGACCCCTGTGCCTTCCTGCAACCTGGGCTAGCTAAGGAGTGGTCATGCCTCTTGCAGCCATCTGGTGCTTGCTAACTGACCTTCTTAGCAGAGAGGAGACTGTCCCTGCCCCAGGAGTCCCTGGGAATTGCTGACTCAGTGCTGCAAAACTGGGCCCAGCAACAAACAGTTCCGGTCTCCACAGATACACTATCCCAGTTGCACCCTGGAATCACTGCTAACAAATCCACTAGGGACGTTCAGAGGAGGCATGCCCATGAGCACATACACACATGTGCACATGCAAGTACACACACACACACACACACACACACACACACACACACACACACAGAGCACGGGGAAAGCAGAAAGTAGGAAGTAGAATTCTCACATTTTGTCCACCCATCTGTCCTGGACAACCTGCATGACCTCAAGGGTTTCAGCCATCCCTTCCTCCCCACCTTTTCCTTACAGATCATCTGCTGGCTGCTGACCCTACTGATGCCCACAACCTTCACTCCCTCACCTCCATCGTGGACAGCATTACAGTGGAGGATGTGTCTGTGGCCTTTCCAAATGAAACTATGCCTAACTGAGAGAGTCTGCCAGGATAGGTGTTCATGTGAGCCCCTAAGCTGACCCATAGATGCCACCACTTCTGCAGCAGGAGCCTCCTCCACTAGGCTCTCCTGATGCTGGGAAGATAACCCTTGGTTGACATAGGCCAGACTACCCCCTCCTCATCCATATAAGGTTAGCACACCACTCAGTAGGAGAACGGATGTCTTCGGTTAGCCAATTCCCAGGAGACACAGCCCGGGGCCACAGAGCTCCCTAGCGGATGCTCCCTCCTCAGGAAACTCAGGAGTTTCCTTGTTATAATGGAGCCTCTAACTCCAACCTCTAAAAGTAATGGTTTGAGAGACAAAGAGTATCCTTACTTGGATAAGCGTGCACATCTCCTGTTCTGGTCTCTCCTTGATGCCAGTGGCTGGGCTGGGCCTGCCCTGAATTGAGAGAAAGAAAGAGAGAGGAACTGTCCTTTGTTCCCAAGTTCCTGGGGGGCCAAGCTTTTGCAGTTAATATAGGGAACCTTTCAGTGGTTTCATGTTTTGTTTTGTTTTGTGTGTTGTTTGTAAGCTGCCATCTGACCAAGGTCTCCTGTGCTGAGGACGCCAGGGACAGGCAGGGGAAACGGGGGTGGGTCTTGGGGTGATTTCTTTTGTTAACTAAGCATTGTGTGGTTTTGCCATTATTTTGTATTTCTTTTTGCTAACTTATTTGGATTTCCTTTTTTAAAAAATGAATAAAGACTGGTTGCTAGAAGAGTGTCTGTAGTGATGATGATGTAGAATAAATGACAGCCCTGACCACTTCCTACTTAAAGGTCCAGACTCACTGTAGTGACAGGGCTTCCAAGAATTCTAAGGACTGGCAAGGGATGGGCTCCAAAACTACCACAGGCAAAGTGGGTCTGCTACATGACCTAGATGAGACCAGGTTCCCCAGAAGTCCTGTAGGACAAGGAGGAAGGTCTGCGAGTACCCCATTGCACATTAAGTCACACTGCTCACAGTCCGCCGCACACAGACTTACCGCCCAGAGGCCCACTGACCTCCAGTTCACTGAGGATGTGTACATGCTCTGTGCCCTGCCCACCAGCCAGGGGTTAGAGGTGATATTGATGGGGATGTTCTCCCTATTCCTGGTTTTCTCCTGGTTCCACGTTACTGCAAGCCCCGCAGAGAACTAGGAGGTGATGAGATGACACAGACCAAATGGCATGTCCTTTCTCCACTCTCTTCCTTCTCTCCATAGCAGAGGGAAGTTCTTGCCCCTGCCTGAGGGACAAGAACTCAGAGATGAAACTTGGAGATGGAGACTCTGCTGGGGGAGCTGGCGGGGCCTACAAAGAGCCATCAAAAAGAATCTGGGATTCTCGTCACTTGGGATGCCACTTTACAGACTGACTCCCTAAGGGGAGAAGGTTGTCAAGATATTAAGAACAGGGCCAGCGAGATAGCTCAGTGGTCTAAAGCACCTGCTTAGGCAAGCTTAGGCAAAGCATAGGGACTGCAGTTCGATCCCTGGCACCACATGCCATGCCAGTCCCGCCCCAAGGGAGGCTGAGCTGGCCACGGGGGTGGGGGGGGGAGATTTTGGATGGAGGTTACATAAAGATTAACCAGGTAATGAACAGGGAGTAGAACTGGGATAGACCAAGAACACCTAGTTAAAAACTATTAATTCTAACTACTTGGGGCTACATCTGACTTACTGCAAAGAATAAATTTCAGAATCATTACACAAGAATTAGAATTCTAAGACCACAGACATTTCATCTCCCACTCTGTTCTTTGGGAGCCTGAACAACTGACTCAACCCAGTTTTACCCTTCAGGAACTAGTGACCAAGCTGTACTTGCGCTGAGCTATCTCCCTACCTTGCCCTCTTGACCTTGCTCCTGGAGGATGTTAACATCTTCCCCCAGGTCCTCCAGAAATTTTGCCTGAAGAGAATAGGAAGGGAACCTCGGCGATATATCATAGACCTTGGGTGAAGTTACAAAAGTTGGATATCTCCAGGACCTGCTTGCCCCAAATAAGAGTCAGGGCCAGCCTTCCTGGGAATCACAAATTAGTCTGAACCCTGGCTTGTTGGACTTTCTCCTTTTTGAACTTGTGTCATTAAGTTTACAATCTTTCCCTCTTAGATAGGCTGGAGAAGAATATCAAAATCACCGTCATGATTCTTAACCTTAACTCACTGCCCTTGGCATAAGGAAGGGAACAGAGTTGGTTGCCATGTCTTGCTTCTAGAGTCTACATTTACTCCCTCTTTACCCACTGAAATACTGAACCACCCACTCAGAGAGTGGTCTTCTCCCTACAGATTCATTTCCTCTGCCCCTGGCACTTGCCAAGTTCAGAGGACAGTTACAACCCCATTGCTTTAGCTGTGACCTACCTGTCCCTTTTCTGCTTTCTTACTGAGGACTAGGGAAGGCCAAGAAGAGCATGAACAATGCTAAGAAGCTGAAAGATTCTGAGGACGCTGGATCTATTTTTCAAGTCTACTCCCCTTTGGTTACCATGACGATTGGAAACTGAGGTTCATATCCATACTCAGGAAACAATGATAGTCCTTAGAAAGAACTACTAGAGTCAACAAGTCCCTGACCACTGTCTGGTATACTTGTCACCTACTTACTGTGTCACATAGACTTTAAGTCCTAGAGGACAATTTGCTGGAAATTACATAGGCATGAATGGCAAACTTAAATTAACCAGGGGTCCAGACTCTCATTATTTTCCCAGAATAAACAACTTTCATCAAAGCACAGGGACTTTCTTAAATTAACAAGTCCCTAGCACTCACAGTAGAATTAGGTAAGACTCCAGTTAATGAATAATAAGGCTGAGTTCTTTACAAAAAATGAGGGTAAATTCCTTCTTTAGTAGAAGAACCTACAATGAATCAAATTGGGTTAATCAAATGTTGCCTAAAATGGGCTTTTGGGAATCTACTAGAATGAAAAGAATTGCTTAAAACTGACACACCAATTGCTATGTGAAAATAGGGACTTCTTAAAGTGTTTGGATAATTAATGTGAATTGAAGGATATTTAGGTTACTATTTGTGCACTATTAAACAAATGTTCTGATGGTAATTTATTTGGCAAGTTGGAAAACCTTTTTAAGGCTACATACAGGTATAGTAGGTGGTTAGAGCAACTGGAGAAGGCGATGGAGGGTGGAAAGACAAATGTCTTCTCAACTCTGGCACCTGTTTCCTGATAAATGCCACCTCCAGCACGTTGTGTCTCTTGGGCTTTGAATTCCTGCCTTCTCGGTTCCAGGCCATGACGCAGAAGCTTCAAGGTAAACTGGAGTTCAGAATAAAGACCGGAAGCTTTCAAGTCCAGCTGCCATCTTGTCCAAGAAAGCTGAGCCCAACCAGAAAGCAAACCTATATCACCACCTCTTGGCAACTCTGGCTGGCCTCACATGTGTTCTCCGTCAGCCACAGGCAATCACCCAGATTCCCTGCTCTTAATGATTAGAGCATTCCTAGAGGGAGCAGACACAGGGCTCCAGGAAAGAAACCTATGTTCATTTTTCGTTTTTCTGTTGATGCTGAAGGGCACAGGATGCTGAGGTCTCGTCTTGAGCTCAGCATGTCCATCACCAAGCACACATTTCTACCTAAGCTTGCTCCTTCGGCCTCCCCAGCCCAGTGCATGCAACACTGGCCAGTCCTGGTTTTCCTGGAACTCTTCAGAGCACATTCTTGTGGCCTGCTGGTCACCAAGCTGGACCTCTGATCACAGAGAGAATGGGAGGAGCTCCCGAGAGGCTTGTAGGCACGAGGCCAGCACTTTCCCTCACCTCTGCTTGTCCTTCCTGGGCTATGTCTGAGTTGTTGTGTCTTGCTTCCCTCTGCCAACTTGTCTTCGGACTCAGCCATCCTTGCTTCATCAGTGTTCAGGGCACTGCTGGCCATGGAGAAGATACACGATGCATAAAGCACTGTGCTGGGAGGGGGGTTGCCATTTAGCTAGGCAGGACAAACACAGCCCTGTGACAAATTTACAAAAGCCAAGGGCCACTCACATAGTCAGACAATGAAACTGGGGAAAGACCTACAGAAGGCTTGAATTCATGTAGAGAAGTCAGTCATACTCTCAAGCACTCCTGGTACTGGGTCAGGACTTTAATGAACATCTGTGTAGTTAGTTACCAAGAACAAAGTCCCAGATACAGGCCAAATGAGGTTTGAGAATCACATCTATCTCTTACCAGCTGTGTGTGGGGTCTTAGCGCTATAATCTTCTGTTCCATAAAGGGGCAATGTTAATACAATACAGGGTTGTGACAATCGAGCAAGTTACACCATTTAGTGTGTGCTAAGATCTGAATGTTTGTGTCTCTCCAAAATTCATGCTGAAACTTAACCCCCAGTGCAACAGCACCAACAGACAGGCCGTCAGGAAGTGATCAGGTCACAAGTGCTTCACCTCATGGATGGGATTGTACCTTTCTGAAGTTAAAACCCCAGTTAGCCTTCCATGCTTCTATGTCTTCCACACGGGAACATCTTGAGAAAGTACTATCTCTGAGAAGCAAACCTTCACCAGACTGAATCTTGCTGGTACCTTCATCCTGGACTTAGCCTCAAAATAGCGAGTCACACATTTGTGTTATTTAGAAATTACCTTGTCTGAGGTATTTGTTATAGCAGCAGAAACAGACTAAGGCCAAAGGTTTAGAAAGGTTTCTGGCACTGTTCTAAGTGATTTTCAACATTTATTGACTTAATTATCTTGACAATGCTCTGACACAGGTCGATCCATTAATTCAAGGGTGTAGACCTAGGGATGTGCAGATCAATGAGACTCACCTGAAAAAGCATCCTTGCAGCCCAGCATGGGAGGAACCAGTGAGCATATGGCATCTGAGCATGCTGAGAGGGTCTGGGAGCTCAGGGCTGCTGGTTAACTAGCTCTGCAGGGGAGGTGCACTGCCTCCCAGCTCAAGCTTGATGCGTGGGTCTTAAAGGTTGGAAGCTACAGAGGCGAGGAAAGTAGTGTGGCTCCCTTCTGGTGAGGGGGCTGGATGGAACTACTATTTTTCAGGCAGACTCCAGACTGGCAGAAGGAGAAAGGGACAGGAGCCAAGTCATATGCGACATGTTACGGCCACCTGGGGAGGAGCTAGACCCCAATCTACAGTGATGGGGAATGCAAAAATTTTGGACAGCAGTGTGATGTGCAGAGGAGGTTTAGCAGCAGTCACTGTGAGAGCTGTATAAAAGGGACAAGCAGAGGGGCCTGGGTAGGGGAGGAAAGATGAAGGAGGGAATCAATCAGGGCTGGCAGCCGGGCTCCTCATCTCTTCATCTTGCCCTCAACTCCCTTGGCACTGGCAACCCAAACTCCCCATCAATCCTGTGGTTATATAAGGAAGCAGACAGTTATTGACCACACATTTTCAGAACTTGATACTTCCTCCCAGAACACAGCAGGTCTTAGAACTGTGAAATAAACACGTGTCCCATAAGTTCAAGTTAAAAAATGAAAGAAAGACCAAAAGAACAGAGGCCATTTTATGTTGTCTTAAAATCAGGTTGTTTATTGGTACATACACACCCACACTCACACCCACACACATCCACACACCTGCTCCTGATGCACTGAGCCAATACAGTACTGAGAAGCCCTAGGGAGAGATGGAGGCTGGCGAGGAGGGCTTGGGTCAATGTGGCTCTCCAAAGAAAACGTTATCAACTATGAGGCAAAGGGTACACCAAGACAACAGCTGTCTCTCACGTGCACAGTCTTCTCTCCTCCTTCCATGCTGCAGTCCTTGCCAAGAGGCACTCAATGGACCTGACTCCTCCAACTTGCTTCACTATGATATGGCCAACCATGTGAGAGTTGTCATAGGGAGGGCAGCCTGGGGCTGATCTTCCCTTATACCTAGCCCACTGACAGTCAGCCCCCTGAAGGAGTTAGATGGCCTTCCTAGTACTCAACTCCACTAATCTTAGGAACCCAGGGTTTCTCCATAACTTCAGCATCCATAGCCCTGTAATGGGGCTCTTTCTCTCTATCCAATTCTTTTTCCACTCACTAATTCACCTATCGCCATTCCCAGTAGCCTGACAGGAAGGGCAGGAAACAAGGAACAAGAGCAAGGGCAGGTGGCTGCCTGCCCCAGTACCGGTGAGAGCCCACCCAGCTACCCCACTGGTGAGGTCTCCTCTACCACACAGCAGCACAAGGCCCTAATACACGACACAGCTCTCTCTCACTCCTCTGGACAGGGTACTTTGGCCTATTGTCCCATCTTCTAGCCCAGCCCAGCTCAACCCTGATCAGGTCACAAACCAGCTGCTCCAGCCACCTGTAGGATGACACTGTGCTGGCCTCCCTCCAATAAACATGCCTGATGCTTTACCTCTCCTCCCTCTTCAACGAAGCCCAAAGTTCCATCAACCTACCATACACTCTTAGGCACCTTGTTAAATTGGAAGAACGGGTGAGGAAGAGGAATTTCTTGGGAATACCAATCCTCACAAACAGCACCTGCATCCCTCTGGCCCAGTTCCCACCATTGCTGCTAGGGAAAGAGGTTAAAGTGGTGGAAGCTGCATGGACCTCAGGAATTTCTACAAAGAAGACAGTCCCTGGACACCACAAGAACCCCAAAAAAGGGCTGGATGATTTGAGGACAAGGAAAAATGTCTGCCTCATCAATACTGGATTTCCTCAACCAGGGACATGATGCACCAAAAAGGAAGCTTTGTTTTCTTCCTGGAGGGTCAGAGGAAGGAAATTCCAGGCTGCCTTTTTCTCAAACCTGATTTTAGGGTCAATGCATATTCAACTGACCCATAAGGTTTATTCTTATGGGTCTGGGATTAGGGAAGTGAGTCAGAGAAAGATGGGGGAAGGGATGCTGGTGGCAGAGTTAGCAGCACAGATCTGCTCTGCCTCAGAGGCCAAGATCCCCCCAGCCCAGAAGGCACTCCCTCCCTCAGGGTAGGGGCTGGAGCATCCCCACTGTCTTTGGGGCTTCCTGCTACACAAGCCATCAGCCCTTTCTCTGCTTTGCCTGCTACACTTTGCACCAAGCATGGGCTGAGTTTGCTCACCCTCAGTCACCCCTGGCCCAAAGCTCTGGGGTCCATTTTCCTCTGACTCTTCCTAAACTCACATGTAGGATTGATTCAGCTTAAGCCAGGCTCCCGCATTTCTACTTTAGTCCTTCTCTTGGCCTCACCATCCTGAGAGAGAATGTGGTCTCCTGCACCTCTTCAGCCCCCAAGCAAGTCCTAGAGACAGGATCTGCAAATTGTGGTGATGGTTTAGCGGATGCTTGATTTTGGAGATGTCAAAACCAACCTCAGACCACCGGATACAAAGGATTAGAGGGGACAGGGACCACGAGACAGCATAACTCAAGCAGGACAGAGTCTGAAATGCCCCTTTCCTGAAAGGACCATCTCTGGCCTTGGCCTAAGATCCTGATCCTGGAGGAGGACGAAGTCTAGACCAGGTTAGGTCCAGAAGACACAAGGTGGCGTCACACCCACCCTGGGCTGCCCTTCTCTCCCTCCCGGAGAATCCCAGGCACGGGCAACCCCGGCGTCTCCACTGCACAGGGAGACCTCAGCCACATCTAGGAGACTTACAAAGGGCACGAGGTGGGAGTCGGGATAGTGGGATGCCGAGGGACTGGATGAGTATATTCTGTGGTCCAGAGCAACCGGAAAGTCACAGACGAGAGTAGGAGCCGTGGGAAGAAGGGGAACGAGCAGGAAAGTTCAGGGCCGTCTGGGCCAGTGAAACCAGGAGGACACCAGCCCTGGGGGCCGAGGCTAGTCCCGGAAGGCGGAGAGCATGTGTCCGTAGAGATAGTGGGAGTGCGCTACAAGAGAAGAGACAGAGACAGGCCACGCGGGTCAGGGTCAGTCGGTGGGCAGGTGATAGGCAGGTGGCGGCGGCGTGGCGGCAAGGTCTGCAGCATGCTCCCAAGCGCAAAGCGCCCCGGGCCCCTGAAGAGGGCAGGGCAGTGGGGCAGGGCTGGCGGAGCGGTGCGGGGCCTGCGGGGCCGGCCGGTGGCAGAGGCCCGCGTCCAGAGCCTGGCCACTTACCCCGAGCCGGGGGCACACCCCGTCAGACCCGGGGCGGGCGGGAGGGTGGGGGTCAGCAGGAGTAGGTCCGAACCGTGGAGGTCTCCAGTCTCTGCGCCCCCGCCGTCCCGGCTGGCAGGAGTCGGCAGCGGCGGGAGAACACAGAGCGGTGGGTTAGTGCGCGCACACGCCGGCCCCGGGCCTCCGGCAGCGCCCCCGCCCGCAGCGTTAGTGCAGCCGCAGCCCCAGCCCGACAGCGCGGGGCGCCCGCCGCCAGCCTCACTCTCCCCGGCCTCACGGCGCCAGGCCCACCGCCACTCACCTTCCGGCAGCATCTTCTTGGGCGGGGCCGCGGGGGGCTGCAGGGGTCCCAGGGTGGACACGCGGAAGGCGGCCGGCAGGGTCTCGGCCGAGGCGCCGAGCAGGCCGCCGCTGTGGTGGTCCCGCGGCCGGAAGCGCTTCCTCCAGGACGGTGCGCGCCGGAACACCTTGTCCTCGCCCTGTACCAGGGGGCAAGCGGAGGGTGGGTTAGAATCACACCCTCGCTCCAGCCTGGCTTGGGCACTGATCCCTCGTACCCTTTTGAAGTGAAGCGAGCAAGGTCACTTCCCCCTTAAGTCGGGCTGACATGTAGGACTCCCAGAGAAAAAAACGGACCCTACCTGGGTGGGGGAGGTCAAGAGCTGGCATCCAGCAGTCAAACCCTGCTTTCCCCGCTCACCTCCATGTTCTCAAACCAAGCTCGAGGTGCCCACTTAGCTTCCAAGCTATTCCTCTTCTGAACCACCCCACAGGATCACCCACCAGTTCACACATTCGCTCTCCTGTCCCTTTAGGGCCCCCACCTAGACAGAATGCAAGAGCCCTGTGCCGGCAGCCAGGACATCTGGCTTCCAGTCCTGGGTTTCTAGCATGTGATTTTAGGGAGCTTCAGCACCTCAGCTGTGAAATGGGGATACACTATCTACCCTACCCACTCTCAGGCTACGTACCCCAATGGGATCAGATGTGACAGTGATAATGCTAGCAGATGACCAGAGATGCGCTCCTCCAAAGCGCATGGCAAGTGGCCTCCCTCTACCTCCCTCTTCACTGACACCAGTCTCCTCTAAATAAGTATCTCTGCCAACAGGCAGGCAGGGCCACAACCCCATAGGCCTCCTTACCCCATCCTTTAGATTCCCACCCACCCTGTTTTGTGGCTGTGCCTCCTTCCACCACTATGTTCTCAAGGGCTGCAGCATGGCACCAGCGTGAGTAGGGACACTATTGCCCTCCTGGCCCCATATCCTTCATCTGTGGAGGCCAGTTGCTCCAATCAATCCTCAGCTCCAGGTCCTCTGTCCTACTTTCCATCTTAGCAGCACTTTTACGTGGACCTAGATCATTTCATTAGTACTGATTTCTCCTTTCCTGGTCTCCTCACTCTCTCCCTCCACCCCTCGTACTTTGTCTATCTTCTCTCCCCCTTTCTCTCTCGTCTTCCTCCTCTTTCCTTTATCTCCTGAAAGGATACAGAAATTATGATATGCGACCTTTCTGTTCTGTTGTAGTCCCAGCTCCTGAGTAGCATCTGGGAAGACTGCTGACATTCAGTAAATAGATTTTAAATGAATGGATGGCAGTTAGCTTCCTACACTGGAGCCCCATTCCATGCTTAGCGGGAACTTTGTCTCCCCCTACCTAGTGCACACCTCTTTCCTTTGGTCCCCTTTCCACCTTCAGCCAACCCTCTGGGTTGGTTTCTGTTCTTCCCTTGTGCCCTGACCAGCATGTTTTTCCTGTTCCTCTCCTCTTGGGTCCTGATCTTCACAAAGAGGGAAAACTGGATGAAGCCTTTCAGAGCCATGAGGGGAAACAGAACCAGAACTGGCAAGAAGCCTAGCTTTTAGAAGAGATACGCTGTGTGAGCAAGGCGCCCATCCAGCCTGGACGCCACGCAGCCGCAGCCGTCCTGCAGCCAGCGCTTCACCCTGGGGCCGGGCCACAAGGAGGGTTGCCAGGCAGGCTGGGTTTAACTGGGTTGATTTTGATTCTGCTGGGTTCTGGGGTCACATGAATAAAATGTTTAATGAGAAAAAAAGAAGAAGAAGAAGAGATAGCTCAAGGAATTGATGAAGTGCTAGGTGGCCCAGAGGCTTAGATTTTCTAAAATCCTTAGATTTCAGACTTCCACCCATACTGCCACCTCGCCCAATCTCCCCTCATTCCTAGGACCTAGCTTCCCCTCTCAGCTTCCTGCAAACTTCCTCTCTGGCTGGACCCTAGATGCATCCCAGAAATCCCACTGTGTTGCCCAATGGTTTCACCCACTTAACTCCATCACTCCACCCAAGGCCTGAAGCCTCCAAGGCCAGCCAGGAATGGGATACAGGGCAGGATGCAGGAATCGGAGGCAGTCTGCCCCAGGCCTACTCGGCCACACACATCAGCCAGGGGGCCATAGCAACATATCTGAGTGACAATTTTCTGTAAAATGAGGATACTAACCTGCCCATAAGTGACAGTGAGCATAAAATGAAATTTCTGTCATTATTGTGTCACCATGCCTGGTCCATCCCTGGCACAGGCATTCAAAAGAGTACAAGAATTGAGGCAGGGCGTGGTGACACACACACCTATAATCCCAGCACTGGGAGGCTGAGGCAGGATTATTGGGAGTTTAAGACCAACCTGGGCTACAAAGTGAGCTCAAGACCAGCCTGAGCTGCATATCAAAATCCTGTCTCAAAAAGACAAAAAAAGAAAAGAAAAAAAAAAACACTGAGGAGTCATTTTTTATATGAGAAAGTTCCATACTAATAAATAAATGCATTTCCTGAAATATATATATATATATATATCACTTTTCCAGAGAGGTAAGGTCCTAGGTATGTGGGAACTGAGTGTGTGGTCATTGTCCCAGGAGCACTGGGAAAATTGAGGTCTCTGAGAGTGGAGTTAGCTGGAGGAGTATTAGTTTATCTCTCAATTGGAATGTATCTCTGTCACACACTATGTATATTTTGCCCCCAACATCAGGTGCTTCTGTGAAGAAAACACATCTCATCCAATGAGGTATATTCTTGAGTGTGTCCTTCCTGTCTATTGAGGCAAAGAAATCATTCCACCAAGGTGGTTTTTAGCCCTGTTAAACCCAACTAAGCAACAATGATCTGACTGAAGATGGAAAAGCTAAAAATAAACTGAGTCTGGGCTGTTTTTGAACTTGCTTGGAGCCAAATCATCTGCAGCAGACCTGACCAGCAAGGGCAAGCAAGGTTGGTGATAGGAGAGTGAGCATGGGGGAGGCAGGGGAGAGGAGGGGCCACATCCTTAGGAAACCAGTGAGCTTTGTAGGCATCTCTAAGGGAGCACTGCGGCTCTAGATGTCAGGGCCGTCCTTAAACTCCAAGGTAAGACCTAATAAAATTAACAAGTCTTACTGGACAGGACAGAGATGTGCTAGCTGCCTGAGAGACAAAAACTAAGGTGCTATCATAATAACGTGGTCTTTGGGAGGGAAAAACTTTGATTCTGTGTGGCACGGAATTCTGGGCACAGAGCTGGAAGATGCTAGAAGTATAACATAGAGGAGCTTTCTGCTTTTATACCACAAAGGAGTTTCATAAAAACTTCTCCACAACCTACTGCTGCCCAAAGACAAACCCAGTGAAGCCTGGCCTTCCAGAGGCCAGCCCACCAGTCATGGCCCAGGGATGCAGAACTCATGAACTTCAGTGACCAAATCTGTGAGACCCTTGATTCATGACCAGGTACTCACGTCATCCAGCTTCCGGTCTGTACCCAAGGCCAACAGGTTATTGAACTCTCTCTCCATCACCTGGCGAGCCTGGAGTCCACAGAGTAAGAGAGGAAATTCTGTGGTCAATGACCTTCATACCATCTTCCCCCTGTTTCCCGGAGCCTAAGGGCAGATGGGGCAGGACTTTGGTACATTTAGTTCATGTGAAACCTTCACCACCTACCTGAGGCTAGTCCTTGTAACAAACCTCAGTGTCCTGTTAGAAGTTAAACTTTTAACCTTATAAAATTAGAAAAAAATGTATTTTTTGGGGGTGGGGGTACCAGGGATCAGACTCAGGACACTGTGTGCTTGCCAGACCAGCACTTATGTCACTGAGCTAACTCTTCAGCCTAAAATGTAATATTTTTAAAAGGGATTGTAGAACAAATATAGGATTGGCTTTACGTACTAGGGGAACATCGTACCTGCCTGTCTTTTGGTAGGGTGTAAGAAAAAGCATGCACACCACGAGCAAACAGAACTTAATTTACTTGGATTAAATAAATGCATTTCAAGGACCCAGAGGACAAAATTAAATTAGGAAGCCCACTCCATCATGGTTGCCAGCGGCTCCAAGCTGTGCAGCACACAACAGCTTTTTCTCAGCTTCCCAGAAATTAACTCATTAAGAAAATGCCAGACACAGGAAAATTTCAAAACTTCCAACCATCAAATATTTTGACCCTTTTAAATGAAGAAGTCCACACTGAGTCAGACATCACCTCCTCTGCTAGCTAAGCAATATGAATAGGTCAGGAAAATATGAATGGGGCGGAAGCACCAGGGAGGTGTCTCTGCTACAATGTACAGGCCACAGTTACTCCTGGCCACAAAATCTGGATGCATTCTGAAGTAGAATGGGAATGAGTTTTTGAAGTAAATGGGAAGTAAAAGAAAGAGAAAGCCATTCCTGAGTAGAAGATAATAAACACAGCACTCTGTAAGGATAGTCTACCCTGAAAGGAGAAGCATAATAAATATGCAAGCGTCCAATGACATTGTTCTTCTGGTTAAGAAAAGCTAAGTGGATAGGTATCATTTTCAAAAACACCTTGCGGAGCTGTGTAAGGAGCCAGGAAAGTGGCAAATGCAGTGGAAGCTAAGTCAGGTGTAGAGAGTATGTTTGGGGGAAAATCTGAGCTCTTGTTAGAAAAGTGGGGGTCTGCACTACCCATTTTGACTGGTTAGGAGCTGTCACTCACTGGTCAGGAGAGGGCACTAAGGACACACTGGCCCTGCGAGCTGCTGTGCACCCCAAAGGCCAGCTCACGACCCAGAACTTTGAGACCACACAGTCCTACCCTCCCTCAAGCCAAAACGTGTCTACTCCCAGAATAGCCCTTGCAGCACTGGTGGCTGAGTTTCAAAAGCAATCTGGCAGCTGCAAAACAGTCCAGACAAGGGCAGCTAAACAGATCAGGGGACAGAGGCGGGCCTATATGAGGAAAGGCTAAGAGAATTAAGACCACTCCAGCTGGAGAGACAAAGGCTTGGGCCAGGGGGCAATACGATCAGAGCAGAAAGAAATTCAGTTTTCACAAAAGGTGAGAACTGGTCAAATACCAGCATCCTTCCAGAACTTAAACTATGAGGAGCAGCACCCTCCCCTGGGGCATATTTAGGGCAAATAAAATCAGGAAGCACTTTACACAACTGTTAGTACTTTTAGAATCCCATTACCCACAGGAAGTTAGAAAGGCCAAAAGTATAAATAGGTTCAGGAGAACTTAGATATATTCTTGGATGACAGCTCTGTAATAATTATGAAATGAAACTCAAGAAGATGTGTAATCTCTGCTGTTGACAGGCAGACAAAGTCCTGGCATGGGCAGGCCTTGGGCTGTGCTCTCTGGTATATTTAGTGTTCTGAGGCCCACAGGCCCAGGAGTAGATCTCTATGGGGACAAAGGAGATCTGGATTGTCTGCTCAGAGAAGCAGGTTGAGGAGACAAAGGCAGAGTCTCAGCTACGACATAGAGCTGGGAGGATATGAAGTGGCCACAGCAGTGTGGAGACAAGCACAGGTGAAGGTCACACGTGTTCCACATGGCTTTAGCTGTGCACAGGCACCACTCTTGGAGGTCTGAGAATGCTGCAATGGCCCAGAAAAGTCCCTCATTCCTAGCACATCTCAGAGCCTGTACGTGTGGGTAACAAGGAGACAGCTTGATGAAAGGGTTGCAGACCTGTGTGTTCTGTGTGGGGATCTGGAGGACCAAAGCCAGCGTGTTGTGGTCAAAGTTCTCATCCAAGGCCAGCAGGGCTCCGTGGACACCACTCTCATGCAGGTTGCCCGCATAGTCCCGAAGCCCAATGGACTGGACCCAATGAACCACCTGGTCGTTGGTCCAGACCAGCACATCTGGAGGGCAGAGGAAGCAAAAGGCAGAAAGAGACAGCAAATTTGGCCCAGACCTCTCCGGGGGCAAGAACGGCTCTCTCAGCGCCCATCAGCCTGCTCTCTGGCTCCTGCCCTCCCCCACCTCTCCAATCTGTCCCCTCCTCCCTCCATCCCTGCCAGTCTGTAGGCCTAGGTCAGGCCAACAGTCTCTGGGTGTTCTCCCCAGAATCCCTGCGCAGGTCTTCCCTCTCCCCAGGCCAGAGTGGCCTTGCCTCATTTTCCACCTTTAAAGGTTTTTCTAAATCCTGCCTGTCTTTCCCACCCAACCCCACCGATCAAAGTCCATAAGCACACCAGTCTAAGGCACTGCCTGGGGCTTGGTCCCATTTTTCTGGTTGGAGGCTGCCGTCCCAGAGTGGATTTAGCAAGGTTAAGACTGTGCACTGGCCATGGAAAACGGCTCCTTCATCGGGCCGAGGCTGCATCTTCCCCCGGGGCTCGGAGGTTCCTGAGATTCACAGAGCCTTCTCTCCTGCTTCTCTGCTGCCTGCCACCCCCCTTAGAGCAGCCCGCGGCCTGAGGGGCTTACCCTTGATCTCATGCTGGCTCTCCTCCCTCCTCTTCTCCAGCTCCTTCCGGTCATAATCCAGCCTCTTCAGACACATGATGCCATACTGAAGACTGGCTCTGTGGGCACACAGTGGCCACAGCCACAACCTCAGTGGGGTCATGCTCTCTCTCACCTTCCCATGTGCCCTGCCTGCACCAGCAGGTGTGGAGCCAGCACAAGGGGCACAAGCTGCCAGCGGGGCTGCATGGGAGCCAAGGTTACACCTCTCTTTCTCTCTCCCTGTCTGCTGCCTCATATTTTCCCTGTCAGCTAGAGTATGGGAATGACTGATGGAACAGAAGTGCTTTGAATGAAACCAACACAACCCATCTCTCCAAGCACACCAATAACAAAGACCTCATCAACCATAGTCAAAAAAAGGAAAAAGCAAGCAGCTCCTTTTATACTCCCTGCCTCATCTCTACATGATGCGGCACAATGGGCTCCCTGACTCATTTGACCACCCTGTGGCTCTCCTTACCCTCTCTCTCTCTCTCTCTCTCTGTGGCAGCCACAAGCACACCCCTCTGAGTCCTCGAACACAGAGGCTGCCTAGACTTGTATGCCTCAGGGCCTTTACACTGGCTGGTCACTGCTCCCAGAACATCCAGCCCCTCCCTGAAACATAGCTTACTCCTCCTTCTCCTTTAAGTGTTTTCAAATGTCACTTTCTCAGTGCAACCCATTTGTCACCTTGTTCATCAGAGTTAAAACTATGCCAACACCATCATTAGCACTGGCCCACACTCCCATCGCCCTTATGTGGTCTAATTTTTTCCCTAAAACTTTTTGTCTAGCCATATACCTTACATGTAATGTTCCTTTTTTTTTTTTTTTCGGAACCAGGGATTGAACTCATGTATTGTTCCTTAGGATGTAAGGAGAACATTTTAACATTCCCTGCTGTTCTAACTTTCTAAGCAATGTTAGAGTATAAGATCCAGGAGGGCAGGAGATTTTGTTTTGTTCACTGATCCTAAACTTCTAGCACATCATAGGTATTCTTTTATAAATGCCTAATGAATTAAATGAAATAATTCCTATAAATTATGAAGAGAAATTACCAAGTAGCAAGCCAGGATAAACACTGCATAAATGAAACCTAAGCCAGCCTGAGGGCCATGGGCTGTGGGTCAGAAGGGGCCCCAGACCAGGGATCCGAGCCCCTCCTCACACAACAGTCACCCCCAAAGCATCCTTGAGTACACTGAGCTGGGACCTGCACAGGTCCAGGGACCCAGGACACCTCGGCTTCTCCAGGCAGCCTGTCGCACCTTGGGAGGCCCAGAAGGCTGCTGCTTAGCATGGAAACTGCCTTGTCCTTCAGCCTTCCTGGGTCTCTCAGTCCATGGAGGAACAGAGCAGAAGGACCCTCCCAACTGCAACTGCATCTTACTGCATTCATGAGGCCTCTGCTTTCTGAGATTAAGTTAGGCAAACTGTTCTCCCCTCTCTCCCCTCAGCTGTGGCCAGCAAGCCCTTCTGTCTCCCTCAAAGCACAGAGCATCATTTCTAGGAATCCTCTCTGGATCACATACCTATTTATGGGCAAGGGGATATACCTCCGTGGCACAGCACCCGCCTGGCAAATGCAAGGTCCTAGGTTCAATTCCCAGTACCAAAGAACCCCATATGCCCATTTATTGCTCAAGCTGCTGACTTAAGCCTTGGCCTAACATGAGAGGGTAGAAGCTGTCTAATTCTACCTCACTTGCTATAATATTCAGGACTGTTCCTATGACTTTCAGAGCTGTTCCAAAGCATTGGGTCTGACGTCTGGCTCTGCCACTTGTAAGCTGAGGGTCACTAAGCCCCTGTAAGATAGGGTCCTCCTTCCCTTTTCAGGGTGTGGTAACAATGAGTAAAAGGGCTCAGCCCAGCCCCTGGGCCACTCAGAAACAGGACCACTGCTAGAATGAAGGTTCTGATTACTATGTGTGTAGGTCTGACTCAAACAGGAGCTCCTTGGGGAAACCCACATAGCAGAACACCCTGTCCAATGAAAAGCTCTTTGAGCTGGTAACAAGAGATGAAGGAAGAAGCCAGGTGTGGTGGCCCATGCCTGTAATCCCAGCACTTGGGAGGCTGAGGCAGGAGGACTGTTGCAAGTTCCAGACCAGCCTGGGCTAGCTACAAAGTGAGCTTAAGGCCAGGCTGAATTGCATAGCACGATCTGGTCTTAAAAAGAATAGGAGAGGGTCCAGAGAGATAGCTCAGTGGAATAAGCGCTTCCCTGGCAAGCACAAGGGCCTGAGTTCAATCCCCAGTTCTGCCAAAAAAAAAGAACAGGAGAGCAAGAGAAGGAGGAGTCAGTCAATTCTATCACCACCAAGCCGAGTTACCTGCTGTTCCTCAACTTCTACTGGATTTATTTTCTCTGTCCGTAAAATAAGAGTTTTACACATCTCTTTCTTGTCATAAAAATCATAATTTCTAAGAAGATTTTGAGACTTTAGAACATGTTTATGAAATGTTAGATGGAAGAAAAGCAGGTAAATGCATAGCTGAAGTGAGGCATATGAAAATGCTGTAGAAACTCCAAAGCACTCGAAACATGGAGCCCCAGTTGGAACCAGGTGGCAGGCAGGGCTTTGCTCCCGACTCCGGTGACAGGGGCTGAGGGAGGACTTCCACTGTGCAGGCTCAGGCTGGCTGACATCTTCCAGCAGCCCAGCACATCCCAGCTTGGCGAGGGACCAGTCCTCCTCCCGAGCCCTATCAATCACCAGGCAGAGGACAGGTGCAGCTAGGTCTGGCAGCCTCCTGGGCAGAGACAAAGGATTCCCTTTCAGCCCCATGAAGGGAGGGGAGGGGAGTGCAGCAGGACGACACAGGCTTCCCTCGCAAGCTGGGCCTCACAAGTTGTGTTCAGGGCACCCAGGTCAGGATGGCCAGGGTTCCAGGACAGGAGTTTCTGCAGAGTGGTGGCCCTGAGCTGGCACACTATTCCACCTGTGCTCTGCCAACAGCCCTCAGTGACCTTGGGCTCCCATTACATGAGGAAGCTAACTAGATCCCTTCCACATACAAAGTTCTGCTTTATGAGCTGGGAGTCATCAACAGCCCCCACATCCTTGGGATCATCTACAGGGCCCTGAGGAAACCCTGAAAACCCACACACTCTAGCCTCACCCAACATTATCCACTCAAGGTAAAAGACCCGGCTGAAACAGCAGTCTGTGCTCTTGGGTGCTGGACACTACAAAGGACCACAACAGCTATTGGTTCCTGGAACTGTTGCCACCCACCTCACTCTCCAACTTACATGCCCAGTGGACCAGGCAAACCAATGCATGTGAGGGAGGCAGGCTGCAGGGGCCTGGAAGGACCCGGAGAAGGCCCACCCTCCCTGTGAGGGCATTACTCTCCACCCGTAGTAGGCCACTTCTGTGCCAGAATGTACAGACGGAGCTCTGTGTCTTTCAAGAGAAGCCAGAAGTTTGTATAAAATCTCCCCCTGTTTAAGTACTGGCAATTAAATTCACGGTTTTTAAAACATATGTGGGCCAAACAGAACATATCTCAAGGCCAAATTCTGCCCATGGGCTGCCAGTTTGGAGCCTCCACCACCACACTTTTGAAGAGATCTCTTCAGTGAAGAGGAAAAGAGGACTGGTGGATTCCTGCACCAAAGAATGAGTCCAAAGCTGAGGGGCTCCAATCTGCGATTTCAGCAGAAAAAGGCCTAGACATCCTTTGTCCTTCCGCCTAGAGGGAGTGAGACACCAAACTAAATTTCACATTCAGTTTGAGTCTTTTCAGGGTAAGCAGATTTCTGCCAGCTCAAAGACAAGCTATGAAATTCAGGCCTCAATGGAAAAAATCTCAAAGAAGATACTACAGAGAATGCTTTTTCTCTCAAGGGTTAGAGAGAGAAGGATCACATCTTCAAACTGCAGGATAAGATGAAAATTCAACAAGGGTGAGACTTTCTCAAGAGGTAAACCTGGTCCCAACTAGACCTGGCCATGGAAAGAGGAGAGGCACTTTTGTTCCTGGACATAGACAACCCCCACCAGCTGGGGGCGGCGGCCCCGGCTCCAGCCCCACTCACCGATGGAAGCTGTCCACCATCTTCAGGTGGACCCGCAGGTCCTTCTTGGTGAGGTGGTCCAGCATGCGAGCATCCACCAGGCACTCCATGAAGTAGCTGCGGTACTGGGGCAGCCCCAGACTGGGCAGCCACTCGTTCCCAATCCACTCATGGTTCATGTCTCCATAGGCCAGGGTCTGGGGAGCGAGAAGGAGGCAGCTATGTGGGGGAGAAGGCAATGCTACCAAGTTGCTGCTGGCATATCCGCTTGGGAGAAACTATAACCAGTCCTCCTCTAAAAGGGGAAGAAGGGTGGCCCAGCAAATTTTCAGTTTCCTTCAACTAAGGGGTGAGAGGAGTAGGGGGGGAGCATTTTATTTTTTGTTTTTGCAGTGCTAAACCCATGACCTTCACACTGATTTATATCCCCAGCCCTTAAAAAAAATTACTTTGGGACAGGTTCTCTCTAAGTCTCTATTCTACCCATGCTGGGCTTGAACTTGTGATTCTCCTGACAGCCTCCCAGGGTAGAGGATTACTGGCGTGCACAACCATGGCCAGCTAAGGTGGGAGATTTTGAGCAGAGCTTTCCAAGATCTCAAAATGATCAAGTTCCACTCATGAATCAATTATCTATGCTAATGAACAGAAGCAAGCAAGCATCCAGGCAGCAGAAAATATGAACCCTTCTTGTCGATTCTGGAATGCACATGCAGTGCTGTGCAGCCAGCCTGCCTCCCTGGTTCTCCACAGGCCTCCAGCACACTGAGCCCAGTGGACCTGTGGAGCAGCGACGCAGGCCAGCCTCGCTCTGGAAAACGGCTGACCTCACAGCCAACAAGTGTGTGAAACACTGGCCCAAACCAGGAGCCAAAACAAAGGAGGGGAGGGGGGCTTGCATGTGAATAGCCAGAGTTCTCTATGGCTGGTCCTCTGCTCCAAGTTCCTCCTGTAGCTCCTTTTCTGTGCCAACTAGAAGTCACCCCTGAGCAAGATGGGCTCCATGAATGCCACCTTTAGAAAGCTTTAGTTTTAAGAGCAACCCTTCACCAGGCTTCTCTTTTTTTTTTTTTTTTGTATTTTAGTAAGGGTCTAGAGGGTCTAGAAGATCTCACTATGTAGATCAGACTCGTATTGATCCTCCTGTTTTCAGCCTCCCAAAGAGCTGGGATTACAGGTGTGTGCCACCACGCTCAGTCTCAATCACTATCTCAGGATGCCCCAGGGGTGTGGCCCACATGGCAGGCCTGGGGATTGAACCCCAGCTGCTGCATCTGCCTAAGCAGGTGCTTTAATCCACTGAGCTATCTGGCCGGCCCTTAGGCTTCTCTTTATGTTTTCAAGTTGGTAAATTTATTTTGCCGCCTTTAAACATGAAACTGTTGATGCATATAGAGCTACGTGTCACATGTGTTCAGCAATGAGAATAAAGCAAAGTTATAAAATAAAATTGCAGGCAGCATTGAAGTGAAAGACCAGACATTCGCTCTCAGTACCACTGAATTCGCCTTCACGCTGTTCTGCCCTTTCCCACTTCCTACCACAACTCCCAGAGGTAACCGCCCTGCTTGGCTTTCTGTCCAGCACTCCCCTGCCTTAAAAATGTGTTCACAGTGGCTGGCGAGATAGCTTGGTAGTCTAAGCACCTGCCTCACAAGCACAAGGATCCAGGTTCAATCCCAGGACCCACATGTCATGCTGGCCACTGAAACCAGGCGTGGTAGCACACACCTGCAATCCCAGCACTGGGGAGGCTGAGACAGGAGGATCACTATGAGTTTGAGCTGCATAGTGAGACTCTGTACCAAATAAATAAATAAATAAATAAATAAATAAGTTCAGTTTTTACAATCACTCATGTCTATTCTTCTAAACTATATTATTAACTTTGCTTGTCTTTGAATTTTAGTGTCCAATTCTTTGAGGCTATCAGGACTTGCATGTTTCATTTCACTTACTTCTGATCCCTCCATTTCTCTGCTGCATAGTGTTTTGCTGTGTGAACCCGTGATTGCTGACCAGTCCCTGTCTCACGCGGATGGGGCTTCCCTGTAGGAGTAAACTGTGCTGTTTCCTGGTTCAGTCTTCTCGGCAGCACTTATCACTATCTGACACTGTTTATTTGTTAATATTGTCCTATTGATCCTTATTGCTATTGTGTCTTAATATTATTCCTTTGTTTGCTGCTCCATGCCTGCTGTACTTGTTCAATAGCTTTTGTATACAGAAAGCTCAGAAAGGCATAATGCACGGTAGATGCTCAGTGAATATTTATACACTAAATGAATGAGAGAGAGGCCTTTGCTCATTCACCAGAGTGACAGGGACAAGGAGAGGGAGAGTCATACCAATCTGAGTCTGGGAAGTGAGTCAAAGTGCAGAGAAGAACTAAGCATGTGACAGGGCACAACTCTCCAGGGCTCCTCGCCCGCCACCCTGAGAAACTACAGCAGAGAGCTAAAGGGGCACTGGCAGGGAGTCCAGCAGAAGCCGAGAGATTGCATCCAGGGCTGCTAGTGTGAAGAGGGACGCACACACGAGCACTTGAAGGGCAGGGCACCTGTGGGAAGGGTGCCATCCTGACCTTCTGAGCACTGTCCCAGCAGGAGGGGAGTCTTACCTGAGCCCAGCTGCCCTCCTCACTGTCCTAGCAGGAGCAAGTGCCGCGTGTCAGGAGAAACAAGCAAAGTCAAGAAACCCAGCAACCTCTCCCCGGGGCCCACAGACAGTAGGCAGAAGATGCCCCAGCAGCTAGTTGAGTGGCCAGGGGAAGCTGCTGGCATGGTTTAGAGGAAGCAGAAGGCTGGTGCATGTATCCATGTGTGTGGTGTGAGGAGAGCAAATGTGGGGGCAGAAACACACTTCCATGCCTTGCAGGGTTGACTGGGAGCCAAACAAAGTGTCAGGCTCTCCCAGCCTTGCTCCTGCCCCAGGGATCAAGCCCTGGGCAAGGAACTTGGAACTCAGGCCTTCACCCAGGCACAGCCCTCTTTAGCCCAGGCTCTTCCACTGCAATGTGCCCAGGGCCGTAGGTAAGCTTATGTCCCCTGGAACACAACACACAGATACAAGCCACTCCCAATCTCACCTCTTTCCCCTTGACCCTCCACCCTGAGACCAGGACCTGATGAACAGCAGGGGCACCAAGCACTCATGACCTTCCCCTCATCTCATGGAAGTCGTCAATTTTAACCCCAGACCCACAGCCCAGGGCTACACTCACTGTTTTGGTGGATGTTGCGAGTGTCTCCATCTCCTCATGGGTGACCCAGACATTCCCGGAAGACTACAGGCAGAGAGGACACCTAATTGGTCCTGGCTGGGGTCCCTACAATCCAGAAGGCCCAGATCCCAAGGACCAGGACAAAGCTCCCTCCCTGAGTCCTGCCACATGCCTGGCCCAGAGCCCTGCGCGCTGGCTAGCTCTGAGCATCACTTTTAGCCTTGTATCTGCACTGCTTAGCACGGGGTGGTGTGTACAGAAAGTGTTCAGGGCATGTTACCTGGGTAGATATGAATGAATGGTGCTGACTACAGTGAGGGCTAACCATAATCACAGAGATAAATGATAGTGAGATCTGAGCTTGTGTTAAGGTTAGACGACAGGGGGCAGAATGCTCAAATGCTCTACACCTCTACCTCCTCCAAGCTGAACCCCAGAATTCCCATCACAGAGATCTGAACTTGTTGTCAGGCAGAGATGGGGAAACGGAATTCATGGGTGGCATGGAGGAGGCAGCAAGGCAGGCTTGCGGGACCCCCTCCTAAAGACTGGGGAACACCTTTTGTGCGGATGGGAAGGGGCAGAGTGCATGGCTACCATATTCCCAAGACCAAGGGGAGGCTTTGCAAACTATTCCAGGGCCCCTATGAGTGTCCCAGGTAAAGGAGGCCACTCACTGTTCTCGAGGTGGGTGGGGCAGAGGGACTGGTAAGTGACACCATCTCCTGGATGGCCAGCCGCAACTTGAGCCGGTGCAGGGCATTGCTGATGCCGATCTCCCGCTGGATCTCTGTGTCCGACAGGGCGGACATGATGGCACCACTCTTGACGTTGGCCCGACAGGCTGCCACATACCAGGCAGGCATCCCCACCCAGAGCTGCAGACATGAGGTATAGGGATAAGTCAAGTCTTTCCCCCAAGACTTGGCCCCACTGCCAAGAGCTTGGCCACACCAAGCCAGGGGCTAAGGCCAGACTCACCCATAGTCTCAGTATAACCAACACAGAGCACAGCTAGGAGCTTAGGAATAGAGATGACTACCATCAAACCATTTACAGATTAAAAATCAGAGACCTAGGAAGGTGAAAGGACTTTCTCAGTATCACAACCTGATCAGCTACTAGGGGAAAGCGCTAAGAGCCAAAATGGCTATTAACTGACCCTTCTTATCCAAACTTAGCTGCCTGTGAGGCATCAGTAAGCAGAATCAATTACATCCTCCAAAATTGGTTCTAAGTGTGTCTGTGAGGACAGACGAATACTTGGGGTGGCATATGTGCACTTGACAGGGGAAGAACATACTGGAGAGGCTGTAGGGGCGCCACCCACTTTCCAGGCATCCTTGTCCCAACCCACTCAATCTTCCCTCCACACACCAGGGTGGATTCCTTTGTCCAGGCTCACCTCCAGCCAGGAGACCACCGTGGGGCCATCCCACTGGGCAAAGGGCATTCCTTTTCTGCGGGCATCTTCAAGCAGCTGGTGTCTTGTAAAAGGAGGAACAGCAAATTCACTAGTCTTTCCTTGCGTTGACCAGGCTGGTTCCTGGGGACCACTGCGCTAGGCCAACAGTGGGGACGTTCACTTCCCTGGTGCCCCACCCATGGACTGCGCTGCTCTATGCTGGAGCCATGTGACACTGAACGATAGGCAGGACACCCACCCCTCCATGCCCAGAGGATGAGGGACTCTTACTGTGGGCACACGACCTACATATACCAACTTGAACATTGCAATATGCCCTTCCCTGTGGGCCCTGGGGCACTTTCTCACAAACCCCTTGCTTCCTTCTCCCTAGGGTCATCCTAAGCACCTCTTCCTAACTCAGGACATACCCTGATGTGCCCACATGGACCAGCTGAGCTCAAGAAGGGCCTGGCTGGGCTCTGGCTCCCTGAGCTCAGTCCCATGGCAGCTGAGAAGAAGGAAAGTGGGCTGAGGCCTGGGCCCCACCCTGGCGGCTCTTACTTCTTCTTCAGCCGCCGGTCCTTCTCTGCTTGGGTCCCCAGCTTAGCAGGCACCATAGACTCCTGCAGACTGAGCTCGGAGTCTGTTAGCAGAACTGGAAGTAAAGAGAAGCCTGTGTCAGTGGCCTCCTGCTTCTCTTCTCTTGGGCTGGGCCACTGAGGAGGAGCAGAAGCAACAAGAGGCTCCTTAGTGTAGGGTCTGACAGACCTCATATGATTCCTATAGCTTCCTCCCAAGGTCCTACATCCAGAGTGGCACTGGGAGGACTCACTGGTAGCCTCAGCCCTGGGAGTATCTCCAGTCAGACAGACCAAAGTTGCCCCACCCTAGAATCCTAGAAAGAACCTGTCCCTACTCCAAGCCTACAGGCAAAGAAAACTCAGAGGGCAGACCCAGGGGCTTGCAAGGCTCTGAGAGCATCATCTGGATCCAGCTCAGGGTGGGGCTATCGGCACAGAAAGAAGTATCTCCCAGCCTGTCTCTCTGGGTGCACCCATTCGTACAGATCGCAAAAAGGAACACACTCTGCTGTCTTCCACTGAGGGTCTCCTGAATTCACGCTGGAGCCCTACAGAATTTGTGGCAAAGAGTAGCATCTTAGGACTCATGTGTCCTGGCCACTCCTCAAAGCCCACATGGGCAGCAGGCGTGGGATATCCGGTAAGCAGTCTGAGATGCTGTCACGGGTTTCAGTGCCAAGCATGGGGGGCACGGGAAACCATGAGGCTTTTCCCAGCACACCTCTGCCCCTGGTCAGACCTTGCTGCCTGCCCATCCCTCTGCCCCTGAGGATGGGGAGGAAGGCAAAGCTCTGCCTTGTTCCTGGGCTGAGACTCCCACAGTCTGAACAGGGGTGCCCTCTTTCCCTCGTCCTCCTGGGCCCCTCACCCTCATCTTCCTCCTCTTTTCATTCTTCCTCCTCCCTTGTATTCCTCCCTCACTAACTCTGTTCCCATTCACACCTTCCTGATGTGCAAGAAAGTCTAATTATGCATTTGGGTTCAAAAGAAATTCTTCTAGTTGATGGAGCTCCTCCCCAACAAGAAATTCATCATTGTTCCCATTGCCTCTGAAACTTCTAAGCCTTCCCTCAAGCTCAGAGGTTGGCATGCTTCTCCCCTCTCCTATCCTCCTACTGCACTTTGAACACAGATGACAGCATACAAAGCCCTCTCGCCCACACATTGTTCCCTTCCTCGGAGTGCACCCCCTCCTGCACACACAGACTCCTTCCAGTAGCACTCCAGCTCCGGCTCAGAATGCCCAGTGGAGGAAGCCTTTCCTGCCAGCACCATCACCCTACAGCTAGGCCTGGGCTCCTGAAGCACCCTGGGCTTATCTCCATTGTGCTGTTCTGGAAGTATCTCTTTATGCTTTCCTTTTCATTAGATACTAGGATCCTTGAGAAATGAGCTGTCTCCCCAACACCTTGTACTGTGCCACACAGAAGGTACTCAGTAAGTACTTAAGCAAAAGACTGAAGAGGTAATGGAAAGAAAAGAAGGGAAAAAAAATAAGAAAGGAAAGAGAATATAGGGGAGAAGAAGGAACAAAGTGAATGCTCATTGTGTACCTCCCGCACACCAAGCATGACTGAGAGCTTATACCACAGTGATGATAACAGTGTTGCCCTGCCCAAACATTCTCTTGAACTAAATGTCTGCAAAGCCATCAGTGGGTGTTTTCACATTTGGAGTACCAAAAGTAAGTTCTAATCAAGAACTGACTCCTTCAAAGGCAGAACTAAGAAATTTCTCACAGCTGTCAGGGGGTAGAGGGTGATGCATGTCTGCAGTCCCAGCACTTGGGAGGTTAAGGCAGGTGGATCTTTGTGAGCTCAAGACCAGCCTGGGCTACAAAGTGAGCTCAAGGCCAGCCTGAGTTGCATAGTGAGACCCTCTCTCAAAAAGACCAAAAGAGGGAAACAATCCTCCTAAAGGTCTTACACAGTACATCAGAGAGCCTTTCAACTACAGGAACCACAGAGGTCAGACCTTTCCCTCCATCCAGGAATCTCTGCTACAGCAAGCCAAGTAAATGGCCATCCAGATGCTACCTCACACTGAAGTACAACTGCTTGCCCCCTGCAGGGGCCATCTGTCCGGTGAGGACATGGCTAACAGAAAACTGCAATTGCTCTGGCACTGGCATGTGCTGCCCACAGCTTCTACCTCCAGCCCTGGGAAGGCAGGTAGAGAAGGCAGCCCCAGGACACCCTCTGCTTCTGACTCCCCAGTGCGCCCCCAGCCCTCTGCTAGGAAGGGGGCAGAGACCATGTCCCGTGGCTCCATCCCGACTCAGCTGCATCAGCCTGCCCTTCTCCTTCTTCCCAAACAGCCGGCCAATGGATGACTTGATGCCCTTGCGCTTGGCGCCCTTGTGCAATGAGTCCTGGCTGCTGTTGCTGCTGCTGGGGTTGCTGCCTTGATCTTCCAAGGCACTAGAGGATGACAGCCAGAAGAGGGCAGAATAAGAAGAAATATACTTAAATTACAGCAGGAGAGGTAGAAGTTAGAGCTCAAAAGAACTTAGCACGGGTGCTGAGGTTGGGGGAAGGGCAAGGGCGAGGGGATACAATTAGAGCAGGTGATCTGATTGTAAGGTTTGACCAAACACCTGAGGGTGTTTCAAAGACAAATGAGATGCTCTAGCACCTGGGACAGGTGAAATGCAGTCTCTTCATAGGCAGAAGGAAGGATTCTATGGCTTCTGGGACAGAGAGATGGGAGGTGGGACGGCTCCACTTACCTCTTGCCTTCCTCCTGGCTCAGGGCTGGGTGGCCAAGCTTCTCTAGCCGCAGCATCCTGGGTGAGGAAGGAGGAGAAGTCTCACATTTTATGGTGGCTTTATCCTCTCGGTTCTCTTCCCGAGACACTGGCGACTGAACAGATAGTGGAGCCGTCAGGGGGTAGAGGGTAAGATCTGGGGCTTGCCTACCCAGCCCAGATGAGGCAGAGGAACAAGAAGACTGAGCAACCATCAGGAGGCCCTCTCAAGTTCAGACTCAGACCCCAAAGCCCTGGGGGAGACGCCATAAGGGAAGGGCCTGGGAATAATCACCCATGAGTACCTGCACCGCCAGGCAACACTCACCAGCAGCTTCCTCCTATGCTTTCTTAAATCACTGGGCTGGAAGAAAAAGAAAAGGGTGAGCAGGGGCAAGCCCTAGGCCCAAGCCCACCCTAGGGGCAGCCCCGGGGTCTCAGGATGAGAACGGACTATTCAGTGTCTTTTGGGTCTAGACAGAATGTCACCACTGAAAAACACTGGCCTGGACAATGAAGTCAACGCTACCTCCGGAAGAGAGGGGCAATGTGGGCAGTAGAGGTTCTTAGGCATTCTATGCTTGTCCAAGGGAAGGGCGTTAAGAAAGCCCTTTGCTACTTGGGACATGTTGGTGGCCTCACATGTGGGAAGAAGGTGGTGGGCCTAACTAAGGGGAATCCGGCTTATCAGTTGCCCAAAAGCTCTCACCAAGGTCATGATCCCCATTCGGTCCAGGTCCTGCGCAGCACTGCGGGAGGTGAGCTTCGGCGTGGAGCGGCCACTGAGTGGAGGAGATGCACTGGCCAGGGACAGGGCGGTCAGCGAGGTAGGGATGGAACCGCGCTTGCGCAGCTGCGTCAGGTTTAGGGCTTCCATGCTGCCGCTGGTCACGCGCGTCTCAATCTCTTCCGCACGGAGCTCAGTGGACTCCTTTTCTTCCTGGATCATCCTGGGAGGAAGGAAGAACCAGATCTGGCCATTAGCCCAGCAAGGACTACCACTCGTTACCCTGGGGCCACACAGTTTGTGGCACCTTCAGGATACAGAATGTCTGGAGCTTAGTTCTCCCTCTCCCCCTCCCCTCCCCTCCCCTCCCCCTCCCTCTCCTGCTCCCTCCTCCCCCTCCCTCTGTCCTTCTTTGTAACTGGCTTGTGAAATCCCAATGGATGGCAATTGCTGAGCCTCAACGGCCTGTAAAGCTATATATTTTGGCTCAGATTATCCCTGGCTGCTTGTTACTGACATTAAAAAGCTCAGAACACGCACCAGTGAGATAGCTCAGTGGACTAAGTGTCCGCTTAGGCAAGTGTAGGGACTGGGGTTCGATCCCCAGTACCACATGCCATGCTATCCCCACCCATGGGCACACTGGGCCAGCCACTGAGACTGGGCGTGGTGGTGCGTGCCTGTAATCCCAGAGCTGGGGAGGCTGAAAACAGAAGGATCACTAGAGTCTGAGCTGGGTAGAGTGAGACCCTGTACCAAATACATTTTTAAAAAAGCTCATAAAACAGAAAGGATAAAGCAAAGATCCTGATCATTCTCTCTGCCACCAGTTTCTGTTCTGTGCCTCATTCGGAATGGCAGCCATGGCACAGCAGCCTAAGCATGCACCTTAGCTCTGCTGCACACCGTGTGGCTTTGGGCAGGTCATTTAGCCACTCTGAACTTCTATTTCGTTGTCCAAAACACAGTGGTCACCTTGCCTACTCCAAAGAACAGGGTGAGAGTGACAGCAACATGAAATTTCCACCCTGACCCAGCCTCGGCAGTGGGAGCTACAATCTTTTTTTTTTTTTTTCCATAATTTTATTGAGAAACAAATAGCAATGAGACAGTTTCAAACCAAATCAGTAGGACAGTTTCAATAATTAACACATTGCATACATTCTTCCTAGTGGTTAATTGCTGTACAAGATGGGGACATGATATCCTATTTACAAACACTATGAGAACTTGTACTGTAACGTCATGTAACTTGGTAGTGTCCCAAATGTTCTGATCAAGGAGATTATGGGGCCAAACAGGAAAGTGATCGATGATGTAGAGTGTGCCTAAGGAGAGTCACATGGAGAGAAAACATTCTCTCAGGCTTTCACAGAGAGCGCATTGGCCAAGCAATGGCCGTGACTCATCCACATGGCTGACACTGACAAAGGTTCTACAATCTGAAGTACAGGATCTCAGGATAAATCCTGAGGGGATTTCACTGACCTTATCAGACCCAAAAGCTACAACTCTGGTTGCATAGGTCCTGCTTTACCTTGGTCTTAACCATCCAGCAGAAAAGTATAAAAACAAAGTATAAGAAGTAAAGCCATGCTGTTATGTTGAGCTGTAGGGGGCGCAGGTCAACAATTTTTGACATTGCTAGTGAAGCAGAAGACCCATTGCTATTATGGACTACTGGACTCTTTTAGAATATTTTGCTGAGTTAACACACCTATAATATTCAAATAACGGAACTTAACAAGAAAAGGGGATACAGATGTATGTCCATTTTGTATCTGTGTATTCAAAATGGTTAGGATAGATAGTTACATTCTCTTAATGAATAGAGGGATTTATTGTAATGGTGTTTATAAATGGGAGCTACAATCTTAAGGGGCAGGATGAGAGCCTTGGGCACAGTTCATCCTCCTAAGCCTGGCCACACCCCTACCTGGGAAAGGGAGAGGAATCCTAAGAATCAGCCTGAGGTCCTGCTCCTCTTAGAACAGAACTGGGCCAGAACCTTGCCTGATGCTCCACTGAGGGCTGCTCGCCTATGACCCTCGAAGGCGCAGCTGTCAGAGGCAAATGAAGGCAGAACCTTTCCTGCAGTGCACAGTCCTTCCAGGCAGCCCCAGCCTCTGTCATGCCCCAACCTGATCTCTTCGTTGATGGCGTCCAGCTGTTCCTGCAGCATCACAGCCAAAGTCTGGGCATCTGAGTGGCCACTGGGTGAGACAGAATCGACAGAGGCCACAAGACCCCCTGGCTCATCCTCATCCACATCAGAGATCTCAGGGTCACTGTCAAAGACAGCAGTGGCCTTGGGGGCCAGCACACCGGGCAGTGGAGATGGCTCCCAGTCCTGAGTGGAGGAGGAGGGTACAGGAGTAGCAATCAGACACCAAGACAGCTGAGGAGGAGAGCTCCCCGCCCCACCCAGCACCACATCTCCTAAGGAGCTTGGTACACATGCAGGCCACTGAGCTGAGATCTGACTCCTAGGTGGTTTGTTTGTACAGTAAGGCCTGAGAACTGCTCTCCAGCTCACACAAGGGTTAGCTAACAGAGTCACTAAGAACAGACTCCAGAAAGACCACCTTGGCTTGAATCTCAGCTCCACCAAATACTGGGAAAGTTGCCTAACTTCCTTGTGCCTTAGTTTCTTCATTTGTAAAACAGGGACAGCAACAATACCTGCCCTGTCAGTAGCTGTGAAGCTTAAGTGAAGAAATGCAGGTGACCCCTTCAGTAAAGAGTCTGGGCAAAAAACAGACACTATGTAAAGGCTGTTGGTTTTGTTTGTACAAACCCACAAAAGATGACTAGATCTGGGGACCAAGGCAGGCATGAGTGTCTTGTGTCTCCCAGAGTTGGAGCACATTACAGGATCAACTCTGAGTGGCAGTAGCTTTTCCAAAATCAGCCTATAAACCTCTTCAGCAGAGCAAGGTCCCGAAGAAGAGAAAACCAGAATGGAGCTGAGGAAGCCAGAAAAGTAGTGGAAGGAAAGGAAATAGCCAGGCCTGGGTGGGCTGCCAACATGTGGCCTCTACGACCCAAGCTCCCCCAATGCTCCCTTAGGGTTCTGCTCTAGCTCCTGTCACATTTAGTCTGAGTTCCTGGGTGGCTTCTGTGTCTATGCAATGAAATAGAAAAGGACAGAGGGACAAAAAGATTATGATCAGCCTGGGCTCCATAAGGGCAGAGAAGTTTCCCCCAGCAGACCAGGCTCTCCTTCCGTCTCTATCTGTATCTGCTAGTGCCCCAAAGCATGTGGAGGACCTGGACATGCACAGGACTAACAATTAGCAGGCCAGGCAGGAATCAGACTCCTCCAGAAGACGGAAGTCAGCCTTTACAGCACTTTAGCTTCCATTACTTTCCTCAATCTCCCTCGGCCAAATTATACAGGGTGAGACCACAGCTGCTCCTCAGAAAATTCCAGGTGCCATCCCAAGAGCCAGGTAACCTGTCATCCTTCCTTTCCCCCTATAAATCACAAGTGTTGTTCCAGGAAGCTTGCCAATTGTATCTTACCCCCGCGGCCCCTCCATGAACACCAGAAACACACGCCTGCACATCCAGGCACACGCACACACGCTTCAGTGAGGCCTTGGGACCTTGCTGGCTGCCTTCCAGCCCCTACCTCCTGCCCACCAGGAGGCCAAGGCAGGGGGGGGCACAGCTGTTGCAGCTGACAATGGCCCCAACCCCAGGGCTGCAGCTGTTGTGGATATGGGGGAAGACAGGGGAGGATTTGCACCACATGCCAGTCGTCTGTGTAACTGGAGCCAGGCACGGAGCCAAACTGACCCCAAACTCCCCAGGGAGACCTCCACACACTTACCCCTCCACCTGCTCACCTTGGCCGATTCTTCCCTCAGGGCGGAGTACCGGCGATGTAGGCCTGGGGGTGCACGGGCAGTGGCGCTCAAGGAGAACCTCACGTCCACTGCACTGCCCATGTGCGACCTTGAGAGGACGGCAGGGAAGAGAAAGGACACCCCTAAGGACCAAGAGACCCAACCGGTCTTCAGCTCAGAGAAGTTTCACCAGACATGCAGTGATCATACATGTTCGTGGAGCTGCCACACAAGCACAAGACTTAGGCTCTGCTGCTCCAGTGTCAGAATCACCTAGGGAGAAAGTTCTAGGAAGCAGCTTTCCAGTTAGCATAAGAGGGATCTTCTCATAGTTTATTATGTTTTTAAAAAGTTGAGTTCCCTGTCAGGTATTCAAGTGTTGGTTCTCTGACCTTTTCTGCCCAGAACTGTAGGAGGGCTGCAGGCACTGAGAGGTCTGATGGATGATCGCTGAAGGGCTTTGTCTTTTGATATTCTCCCCCAGAAACTTTCCTCAGGTTTTCTGATAATGTAGACTGAGTTCCTAATTTGGCTAAAATTCTACCCAGTATGTCCCCATCTTCAGGAAGCTTTGGGAGACCTCAAAGCTGTACCAAAGGCTGAGGCTAGGTTCTAGGATGAGAGAAGCAGTCTCAGGAGAGTCTAAAAGCCTACTCTGATGTTTCTGTGCTTTCTCAGCTGGGGGCCAAGTGACGCCCTTCATTCCCATTACAACTCAGCTCCAGTTCAGTGATGGGTCAGTGATCATACAGTCAAAGCTAAGAATTCCCAGCAAATAAGGAACGCATACAGTGTTAAATGGCTTGGAATAGTCTGGGACAGTTCTGATTAAATGAAGGGTAGCTCTTCTGGTCACCTACTGGAAGGAAAAAGCAGAATCCCAGCTCTCATTATATATCTCTGTTCTTCACCTCTTTTTGTATTTCTATTCTGCTACAGTAATTCCTGATGAACTTGAAGATGGCACTTGAGTTTCTACCAACCTACACCCCATGTTTCTCCCCTCAAGTTCATTTTTCTCTAATTCTCCACACATACCTGTTTTCTTCTCCTCCACACATACCTATGTGCTTTCACCTTTCTTTTTTTTCTTTTATAAAAAATAATTTTATTGAGAAAAAATTTGCAATGTGACAGCTTCAAAAAAGGTTAGTAGGAGAGTTACAACAATTAATACATTGCACATTGTTGTCTTTGTAGCAGTCATTCATAGCACAAGATGCAGACATGATATGCTGTCCAAACACTATTAGTACAGATCTTTCTTCTTATTGAAATAAAAGAAAGTAGCTATATATCTATCCTATTTTGGTTATACAAATACAAAATTGTCCTTTAATCATATCACATTTTTTTGTTCAGTTTTGTCAGAAATGGGTATTCCATTGCCATCCAAATATTGTAGGTGCATGAATTCAGCAAAATATTTCAATATAGTCCAGTAGTCCACGAGAATCACCTTTCTTTATAGTAACTGATCTCTCTATCTCTAATATAACAAGAGTATTTAGCGAAGAGGACCTCCAAGGTTCTAAACTAAGAGACCATGCTTCAGAGAGAAAACAGCCAGGAGCCCTGAACCTCAAGTGGCACTAACCACCTCAGTCTCCTCAATCTTCATCCTGTCTCTTTGGGTAGAGAATTGAGGGCAGGCTTGAGCTATGAGTTCAATGCCAACTGCTTTCCAAAATGTGGAGAAAAATCCAGAGCTTCTCTAAGGCACAAACAATAATTCCCTTCTCTGTCTCTTATACTGCTTTCAGGTAAAGGGACACCAGAACTGTATGAGTACTATGGTGTCTCAACTTCCAATGGTAAGGAAAACTTTCCTGTCTCAGTTCAGTTCAGCTGCTTCTGCCCCTTCTTCCTATCTAAACTCTCAGGTGATCCTTGACTCTCAAAAAGCAATCGCATCTCAGAAAAACTAGTGAGTGGGCCTCTGCACCAGTGGGCTTTGTGGGCATGGGAGGGCATATAATTCCTGCAGACCGCTCTCATGGGGACACCTGCTGTCAAGGACAGAAACTTAGCAGTGAGAAAAGCAGCCTCTGATTTCTTCCTTCTCTGCATCCTCAGAGGACAAACACTTCCTAACTGCCCTCCTCACCAACTCTCTGAGCCTGTGTCCCACCCTGAATAGGAGGAGGACGCGGAAGTCCTGGGTGGTCTTTGGTTGGGGAAGTCTTCCCTGCTGCAGTACCTGGAATGGATGCCATCCACAAATGGGCCCCCTCGACCCTTTAGCTGGTCCACCTCTTGGCGTAGTTTCTCAATCTCTTCAGACAGGCGGCCCTGTGCCAGGCAGACCCATGGTGTGGTGAGGCCCAGGGAGGGGGCAAAGAGGGGAGGGTGAGAATCAAAGAGGAACAAAGAGGACAAGAGAGTTGGGGAAAAGCAGAATTCATTGCAAAGGCCAAAGCCAGGGGCCATGGGCCAGGCCACACAAAGTGAGCAAAAGGGTCTTAAAGGGGCTGAGCCAGGCAGGTTCTGTATGGGCTGGGCTGCTGGACCAGGCCACTAACCCTTATCACATCATAGAAGCCTAGCAAGCAAGGCTAGGCAGCAGGGACCCAGCCCCCTCCACACATGCTGTGGCAGGGTGCTGGCAAGTCCTCCCAGAATCGCTGGGTCTGAGGAGGCTCCAAGTCCTTAGACTGAGCCCTTCCTGACCCCTGCGTATAGTCTCCATGTATTTTTGTTTTACTCTGGGGAATGATAAACAGTGTCTGTTGCATTGGGCTATAGTGAAGGAAGCATGGTAAGTATGGCCTGACACAGGAGCAAACACAGTGCTGGGTATCAGGAGGTATGTGTGCAGGTGCGCGCGTCCTTTCCTCACTGCACCCCTGCCCTCCAGGAGGGGTGGGCTGGCTGTGCTGGGCACCTTGTGGTGATGCTGCTCCTCAATCTGGCGCTGGGAGCTCTCCAGCTCCTGGATCAGCGTGTTCTGGGGGAGAACAGCTATGAGCCAACACTCCCTACCACCACCTCCCCTACTCTTATTAGGCCTGTGGCTTCCTCTCCCAAAGGGGCACATTTCCCTCCACCGCCAGGCCAGCTATCCCAGCCCACCTCTGCAGGGCTCCCACCTACACTCCTCCCTTCTGGCTCCCCGGGGTTCAGCCCCACCCCGCCTCACCCAACTCAGGCCCCGCCCCTAACTAACCTGACTAACCTATCACATCCCAAGTGGCCACTCCGCCCAGTCCCAGCCCGCTCACCACACCTTCTCCTCCAGGGCTGCCATGCGCTCTTTGAGGTGCAACTGCAGTCGCTCGTTGGACTCGCTAAGTAGCCGGTCCACAGTGTCCGACAGCCTTTTGTTATGGTCCTCGTTCATCTTCTCCCGCTGGCGCACCTGCACAGCCGGCCCACCTTACACCAAGCTACCCTAGAGTTTTGTTGCTGCCCCCCCACTCACTCTACTACCTCCCCAACATACATCCTGGAAGCCTGCCCCAGAGGCTACAGGAGAGCCCAGCCTGCTGTCCTCACCCTTGCTAGCTCCTGGTTCTTCTCCTCCAGCTGCCCTTCCAGCTGCCGCAGATGCTCCTCTATGTTTCCGTGCCGTTCTTCAGCCTAGGGGTAGAGATGGCTCAGTGGATCCTAGGGATCCCTGCCCTCCTGCCTCGGCTCCAAGCCTCACCAGTGCCGGGGAGTCTTGGAGGTTCAGGCTTCAGCTGCTAAACAACTCCAGCCTTCTACTTTCTACCATCTTGGTGTGGAACTGGAATTCCCCACTGCCTTTGCTCCCAAGCACCTGACCCCTGCCAGGTCCTCCACTTCCTTCCCACTTAGAGCTGGCAACAAGAGAGGCCATCAGGCTCTTCCATATCCAGAAAAGGCTCCACCTGAAAGGAGAAGCTACAGTATATCAGCTCTGTGCCTTTAGATAGATGAAACTGTACTTAAGACCACAGACTCAAGCCAGATGGCCTGGGTTCAAATTCTGGTTCCCTCTTTTACCAGCCATGTGAGTTTGGCCAAGTCCCTGAACTTCTCTATGTATTTTAGTTTCCTCAATTGTAAAATGGAGGGTAACAGCACCTGTACCCACTGGGCCATTGCAGGGACTGGAGGAAACAATCCTTGCAAAACAGAACACAATAAGCACTCAGAATGCTAAATTTGCATCAGGTGAGTTATAATGTAATGAGAATCATCATAACCCAGGGACAGAAGGGAACCAGTGTTGAGTAAGTGCTCAGCCTTACTCAGCCATCCCAGGTAGAGCAGTCTGTCTTGCCACCCATGTATCTCCAGAGATGGAGAACCTATTGTTTCTGCTAACAAGATAATCTAAAATATCCCACCTCACAGCCAGGAAACCCTTCCTTAAAATTCTCCTGCTATGACTCACTTGAACATATTAATCACTTCAGCCCATCCCTTTTTATCAGCTTTGGCTCCACAGCCCCTATATAACATCCTCTGCTATAATTTAAACCATGCCCTTCATTCTTAAGAGTTGGAAAGATAGTCCCTAGAGACCACCAAGGCCAACTCCACCATCAAGGAGAAAAGGACACTGAGGTCCAGTGAGGGGGTGACTTTTCCCAGCAGACATGGTTCTGGGCCTACTGAGGCACAGTCAGGCTATGAGCTCCCTCCCCAGAGTTCCCAAGCTGCCACACCAGTACACTGGCCAACCTTTTGCCTTCAGGGGCTCTGGGGCTGAGCGCTTACTCAACACTGGTTCCCTTCTGTCCCTGGGTTATGATGATTCTCATTACATTACAACCCACCTGATAAAGCCCCCATCCAGCTGAGAAGATGCCTAAATTCTTCTGTTTAACTCTCAGCATATCTAAGTCCATGCAGTTCCCTAACTCCTCCAGCACCTGATTGTTTTCAGCCTGCACCCGTCTAGGAATTATTACCCCATGAAGTTAGCTCTTCATTAAGTAAAGTGATATTTCCTTTTATTCATCCTAAAGCTGCAGCCATCAAGCAGCCAGGGGTGGTCTCTAGATCTAGAACTTTTCAATTGCTAAAGAATGAGGTACACATCTTAATTCCCACTTCATAACCCCTCCAGGGATATACAGACTTTGATCATAGATGTCTTTCCCACTGCATCTTCCAAAAATAAAAATCTTAATCTTTCTATTTTAGCCCCAGTGGAAGTCACAACTATATTGGTGTCAGTGATAATACAAATACTTTGCATCAGTGTAGTCTTTTGCCTTAAAGTATTCTTATTCCTCCTTCCAATGGGAAGGCACTTCCTTGTGGGATAAAGAGAGCAGGGATTGCTCTTCCCATAAAAGACACAAGGTAGCATGTCCTAACATCATGCAGTGAGAAGCAGTTCTCTGACTCAAGGCTCAATGTGTCTCCCAACATGCCAGAAAGACAGACCTGAAAGAGCACCAACACCTGTGCCCCACCTGGCTCCATAAGAGGAACAGCCTCGTGTAAAGCAGAACAGTGGCAGATCGCAAGCCCTGCTCCACTTGCCTTGGTGAGGGCTGCAATTCTCTGGGCCAGCTCTGCCTCCACCTCTGGCAGTGTTTCTGCCTTGCGCATTGTCTGTTGCAGCTTCTGCTCTGCCACCTCCAGCAGCTCCTGTAGATGTCGGGCCTTCTCCTCACACTAGCAGTGCAGGGGAGGGGATGGGGGCAGTGACTCAGAGAGAGCACGAAGCCTCCCCACCCCTGCCCCAGCCTCAGCAGAGAACAGGCAACAGGTCAGAAGTAGCACGAATAAGCTTGGTTCTTGATTTCTTCTTTCCCAAGATCTGCAGGACCCCAGGAGCTCCTGGGCCACCCAGAAGTGGTTCTGGCAAAACCAGCAGGACCTCTGGTATCAACTGCAATCCCTACCCCACCTAGAGAAGTTACCTGGCGATGCAGGGACTCCTTGTTGGCCAGCTCATTCTCCAGTTTGTCGTTGAGGTCATGGATGGATGTGGCCTCACGCTGAGCAGCCAGGTAGCGCTTTTCCAGGGTGGTGATTCGCTCCTCCATGTCCTCCTTCTGGGCCAGAGCCTGGATAGGGGCAGAGGGGAGGACAGGAAGAGTGACCAGCCTCTCCCTGCTCTCCTCTCCACACCTCCCTTCCAACACATGCATAGGGTGTAACCTATGCTCTCCTCTTGGTGTCTGGCCATGGGCCAATCATCCCATCACTTCTCCCCACACTGGGCCCTCAAGAGTTTTTAATCTTACACTCCCAGTCCTTGCCTGGACCTCTGCCACACCCTCCTAAGTGCCAAGTGCTTGCACCTGGCAAGAGGAGGGAAGTGACAACAGGTGTTGTAGGACCTCACTCACCTCGCGGAGGTCCCGCTGGTGTTTGCTGCTCAGCTCCTCTGACTTGATAAGGTCCCGGCGGGCTGTGCCCAGGTCCTCTTCAAGTTCTGCCACAGTTGCTGTCAGGGTGACCAGTCGCTCCCGGGCCTGGCTCAACTCAAAGTTTTGCTTCTCCAAGAGCTCCTGTAGCTCCTCTACCCGGCCCATGTCCTCCTCCAGGGACAGGGAGCCATCAGTCAGTCACGGGCCTCAGGGCATTCCCCTGTGCCCCACCCCAGGAGGGTGAAGGACCACACATGCACAGCAGATCAGGGGTCTGCCCCAACACTGGGGCACACATCAGGTACACTTTCCTTCCCCGGGGCCCCAGGAGCTTATTCCTGGAGAAGACCAAACACCCATGTTCTCCTGACTATTTCTTGGAAACAAGAGTTTCTGTCTGTACCTGTTGTCTCTCTCAGCCTGTTATAACCCAGAAAAGATGAATTTTGGGAACAAAGACTCCAGGAGGAATCTCACCTGATGCTGACATATAAGGCAGATGGCCCCTAACAACTCAGTGAGGAAGAATACCTTGAGTGCCTTACATAAAACCAAAATCTATACATTATTTTGCAGGTGGAGTGCAGAGAAGAAGGACAGAGGAGTGGAAATATTGCAGAAAGCCCCATATTTAATTCAAGCAGTGACTACTGAACTCAGGCAGGCAGGGTCTCCCTTTCCTATCTTGGGGAACAGAGGCCCCGGCTATGTGGCACCCCATTACCCACCTTCCATAGACGTTTTGGTCCCAGCTCCATAGTCCCTTCCTCTTCTGCCACTCCATCCCGAACCCCTGCCCCCTGCTGCAGGGCAGACACCTATTGGGGACAGTGCCTGGCAGTGAGTAAAAAAGAACTTCCTATACATCCAGACCTGCTCTTGGAAAGGCTGCCTGGCCAAGCCTTGGTTCCCAGGGTCCAGCCACCATGGGGAGAAACTCCATGAGGTGGAATATGGTGAGGCTCAGATAAACACTCCAGGCTTCCAGGAGCTGTGGTGTGCAGACGGGATGTGGACCGAAGACTCACCTGCTGGTGGGCTCCTGCCAGCTGCTCCTCCAAGGTGGTAACTCGCTCTAGCGCCGCCCGGAGCCGCTCTCGTACCTGCCCAGGTGAGGAAAGATAGATGAAGGAAGGGGAGCCCCAGGGGACTCAGTCTGGAGGAGCCCAGGCTTTGTCTACTGCTGTCAGCTATGAGGGGAAATGAGGGCCACCCACAGGTGACCTAGTAGGACAACGAATTGGGCCAGTGGAAGGACGGAGCCAGTCCTGAAACTGGAAGACAGCTTTTCCTAAATAATTAATGCAGGAAAGGGACACAGGAGGCTCCAGGGGAGAGAGCAGGGCCAGGCGAGTACCTTCTCGTCCAGGGCCTTGTGGTGCTCAAACAGCGACTTGAGGGCCTTGAGCACCTCCACCTCACTGGAGACCCCCGAAGGTGACTGGGCCTGGCGTTTCACCACAGTCATCCGCAGGGACCGCTCGTGGCGGGACACCAGGCACTCCAGATGTTCCAGAAGCAGCTGGCAGGGAGCAGTGGGGAGCAGGAGGGACAGCTGTGAGTACGCACCTCCGGGGCCATGAGCGGAGTCCATCAGATCACCCAGGGGACATAAGCACAGCCATCCATCCCAGTGTTGTAATGTTGAAATTCTTCTGTGTGCTAAATCATCACCCCCAAATTCAGTACCCACACCCTGGTCACCCCCACTTACCCTTGTGTTGTTCCGTTCTGCTTTCAGCTCTGATATCTCTTCCTCCCGCTCTAGAAGTTGTTCCCGACACATGCTTAGCTCCCGGGTTAAGGTGGCGAATTCCTGAAAACCCCCCAGGGCCTCTTAGCGCTTGGGGATTTGCACCCCAAGCAGCGTCCTGCATGTCCAAGTCCATGGGGGGGCTTCTCTCACCCACCCCTGACTTCCACCTGCCCCTAGATACTCCTAGCCCATTGCACTGCAGGGCAACAAACCCAGCTGCAAGTATGAGCTTCCCCAAGGGCTCTGTGTCTTTGAGGCTGCTTTGCGGGTCAGTATCTGTCAGGATCCTCAGAACTGGCTGTCACCCAGGAATGAGGAAGTTACTGGGTCTGCTCCGCAGCATATCCCCCTCCAGCCCTCACCCATCCTTTCCATTCAGAGTTGTCCTGTGGAAACTGACAGAGAGTAAGGCCAGCTCCATGGGGCACAGTGAGGGCCACACCGAAGTATATAGATATTAGAGATGGCAGGGAAGGATGTGCTGAAGTTTCTGTCTGAGGAAATCCCAGGAATTCTCCTCTATCCCTTCCCCAGGCTCTGCAACCTGCAGGCGGTGGCTAGCAAAATAAGAGAATAGGTGGAACACACACACACACACACACACACACACACACACACACACACACACACACGCTGAAGCAAGAGGACCTGCGGGACCAGTCAACCATGTGAATTTAACTCTGGCTTCCTGGGAGCCCCCTTCTGACGCCACAGCACTAGTCTTGGCTTTACTTGGGCACCAAGTACCTCTTCTGGCAGCATCCACCCCATGCTGGCAGGCACAGGCCCTTTCAGAGACTTCCAGTCCACTGTCTTCTGTCAACACCAGCATCTAGGGATGAGACGCTGGCCCAAAGTTTCTTACCTACTTAATAGCCCTCACCAAATTCTAGAAAGGATCTCAGATACATGACCTGAGCTCTGGCTGCCAGTGTCTTAGAGGGACCAAAGGCTGCAACCCTACCCCCACCACAGCCTTCCTAGCACGCCAGAGTTGTCACCAGAGGATAAATTCTCAAAGCAGCCTCCCCTGTCACTCCAGACCACAGAAAAGGGGAGGCAGGGGTTGTGGGAAGGGACAAAGGACCAGAGAAGCCAGAGCACGAGGAAGCAAGAACTCCTGGCCCTATTCCTTGATTGCTGCCCTTCTGAGAAGGCCATGGCTGAAGGAAGCCAAGGCCTACTTTTTACACTGTGGAAGTAGAAGCCCAGCACTGTCGCACTTGCAGACACAGACACAAACACATTCACATGCTTATTCACACGCAGACTTGTGTCCAGAGGCAGGCCTTGATGGCCTGTCCCCAAGCCCTATGACACAAAGAGCTATGATGCTCCACTCTCCCCTCAAAGCCAGTAGTAGCTCGGTGCTTCCTCTTCAGGATGCCTGGCCCCTTCTTCCTCAACTCCCGGCCATCTGACAGACTGCTGTCAGGATGACCTCCTGATTCACATCACTGTCCACAAAGTTAAACACACGTATGGCGTAGTCAAGACACATAGTGAATGTTGATTTTTTAAAAAAATATTACAGTAAAAAACCCCACATTGCTATTAATCTCTCCCCTCAAAATCCTCCCCCTCACGTTGAACACACTTCTCCCATCATTCTTGCTGTATTCTGAAGCATCCTGGCAGGGCTCTTTCATGAGGATCACATGAAGACAGGATCAAAATTCAGTGAATGCTGCTGCCAAGCGCCATCCAACTGAAGGGCAGGCTCATCAAAATATTAGCCTGTGCTCAACCACCATACACACCAGATCTGGCACCACTGACTTCCAGCTGTTCTCCAAAGTCAAAATGACCATGAAAGGTTAATGTTCTAAGTTCAACTAAAGACACAAAAGAGGATTTCCAGAACTGCTTCAGAAAGTGGCAGGGGGCAGGGGAGATGGCTCCGCAGCATAAAAAAGAAAGTGGCAGGAATGATGAGATAGATACGTTTAAAGTGAGGGATAGTATTTTGAGGGAAGCTATTGACAATGTGTTGTTGCCTCTAATAATTTTTAAAGCATAATTAAATATTTAAGTATCTTTCAATCATACTTTACATTCTTATCATTTTCAAATTTCTATCTCAAAGCTCCTTTCTCCTCCAAGACCCGGTCCATCTGGTTCACTTACCTGTTTCCAAACACCAGCAAGCCTTCCCAGGCCATAGCTTTGCTGGGTGGGCTCCCTCTTCCTATAGAACCCAACCCTCTCTGCCACTTGAATGAAAGCAGATTCCTTCCAAAGCTCATCACCAACAGCCCAGCCTCCAGGGAACCTTCTCAGACTCCCCAGTGGAAGACTCCTTGCCTCCTTTGAAAACCATTCAGGCCAGGCATGGTAGCTCATGCCTGCAATCTCAGTACTTGGGAGGCTGAGGCAGGAGGACTGTTGAGAGTTTTAGGCCAGCCTGGACTACACAGAGTTCAAGGCCAAACTGAATTGCATGATGATGAGGCTCTGTCTCAAAAAAAGAAAGGAAAAAGAAAGAAGAAAGGTAAAAATGAAGAAAGGAAGGAAGGAAAGGAGGAAGGAAGGAAGGAAGGAAGGAAGGAAGGAAGGAAGGAAGGAAGGAAGGAAGGAGTGAGCCATTCAAAACCAGCAACTAACTTGGGAGTCTACCATTCAACCATGTATATTTATGAGTACCAGGTACAATGCTGGTCTCTGAGGATACAATGCCAAGAAACATATAACTTTTGCCCTTGTAAAGCTTCCAAGGTCAAAAACCGGGAAGACCTGGGATGGCCTCTCAGCTTGGCCCTTGCCCACGTTAGCTGTGTGACTTTGGACAAATGACCTACTCTCTCTGAACCCAGTTCTCTGATCTGTAACACAGACCTCTCTCCAGGAATGGACGTGAGGAGGAAATGATTCCAAAGTACAGAAAGCACTTAGCAGGAGCCCACCAAAGCAGCTATTTTTATCAGCCATGCTGTGTTAAGCACCCTTTGGGCCTCTCAACTTCTCCTACATTCTCCCCTAGTTGTCTGGGTCCTGTGTCTCCTTCCTGGTTTCCGAGTTCCTTGTGACAGGAACTAGCTCATTCACCTTAGGGTGCCTTGTCACAGAGAGGTAGGGGACCCACCTGCCCACCCCAACTTTTCACCAAGGCTCCATTTTCTATTGACTCTGCCCTCATTGCCCCATCCCTGGTGCTCCCAGAACTCCTTGAGGCTGCCTCCCCACCCCAGCAGCACCCTCAGCAGCTCAGGGTGCGCCATGCAGGTGCCCATCACCTGATTTTAGTACTCATCCTTCTCTTACATCCAGGCAGTCACTCTGAGCCCTGTGTTTGCAGCACCTGGCTAACCAGGGAGGGCTCACACCTTGTTTCACAAGCAACAGAATAACTCAAGTTCCTGCTCTGTTCTGCACCCTCAGAGCATGCATTTTGCCTGGAATATCTGCCAAAGGGATAAGTAGGAAGCAACACAGAGCCCCGAGGCCAATATGGTAAAACATGTTGGGAACAAGAGCTGCTCTTGGGAGGGAGTGTAACTCCCCTTCGACCACCTACCAATGACAGTCATGAGCAATTGATCGGCCTCCCCAAACTTTAGTTTCTTCATTTGTAAAACAAGATGATTTTGAAAATGCTACCAACTTCATCGCTGAGGGAATCTGGTAAGGTAATCCATACAGAGTGCACAGAAAATATGCAGTTAGGGGTGACGACGTTATGGTGAGTAGCAGTGTCGTTGAGCAAGAAATGGCATGTTAGGATACCTTGCTTCTGTCTGTAACTGACTGTATGACTGCTCTCGCCTCTCATCTGTGGAACAGGGAAGATGGACTAGATCTCCTCCGTTTTGGGGGCTCCCCTTATTCCATCCACCATCTCCAAGAACAGGGTCTTTGGGTGAGGAGCAGGTAGAACAGAGATTTCTTTCCAGTCTAGCGTGCCACCTACTGGCAGTCTGGCATCACTGCAGTTAAGAACTACGGCTGGATTTTTTTCCTGCATCAAAGCTCAACGCCGTTTTGCTAAGTGAAGCCACTTCTAGACTAAGGAGCTTGGGAGGGTGACAGGAAATGATTTATGCAGGAAGACGGCGCATAAATGTTCCCAGAGTTCCACTATTTATATGGAAATGTATGCAGATGAGCTGACAGCAAAGGCTGAGAGGTGGGGCTGAAGGAGGTGCCTTACCTGGGGGAGGGCGGAGTTGAGGTGGCGCTGGAGCTGGTCCCGCTCATGCAGGGCATCCTGAAGCCGGCTCTGCGTTGCTGCCAAGGTTTCCTGACTCTCCCGAAGGGACTCCAGCAACTTCTCCCGCTCATCCAGCATGTTCACCATCAACTGCTCGAAGTTGGCGTCAGCATCTGCGCCATGCGGGGGCCCCAGGGGGTCCCCCTCATTTATTGTGGGCATCACTTCACACATGGTGGGGGTGGACAGGGCCTTCTCAGTGTCAGGGGACAGGGAAGGGCTCACAGGGTTGGCACCTGCAGGAGGACCTTGTGCATGGGTCTCAGAGTGGGCGGGCGGGCAGGGGCTTCTCCCATGCCATCAGTTGCACTTGCTCTGAAAGGAGCCTGGGGCCTGCAGTTCCCCAATGGAATGGAGCCAGAAAGCCTGGCTTAACCTCTCAGGGCTGGGACTGGGTGCCCTGTGTGCCCAGACCGGCGGGCAGCATCGCAGTGTGGCCATGACAGGCGAGGAGAGCAGGGTGAGGAGAAGGTCCTTATCCTAGACTGAGCACAGGAGCCTGGCAGAGTCCCAGCTGGGCCTAGCGACACCCATCGTTTCCGGAAGGCAGTGCAGTCTGGGGAAGAAGATAGCGCCTTTGAGGACCGCCTTTGAGGACCACAGAGAGAAAGAAGGGCAGGAGGTGGGGTGGGGCTGAACAGGCCGACTCTGGGCCAGAACGGGGAGGGGGGGGGCGGAGGGCAGTGGCGCGGGACCCTTCTCTGGCTCACCCACTCCGACCGCGCCTCCTTAGTGCCCCCAAGGAATGCACATGCCCGCTGCCCAGCACCTGCCCCCACCCCCGCAGCTGTCAGAAGTGCAGCCGCAGTGGTTCCCCCACCCACGTGGCTCGCTGGCCAAATATAGAAATGATTCAGTCAGCGGTAGGGGAGCAGCCGCTGGCTGCCCAGAGTCCTGCTGAGACCTGAGGGTGGGAGGGGAGGAAACAGGGTCTCCGCCAGCTGCCTACACCCTTCACCTGCACACTCAAGCCAAGGCAAGTCCCCAGGGCATCAAAGGGCTTAGTGGGTGGAAAAAGGGCCACAGCAGCTCCTGCCCTGACCACCAGCACAAGGTTAAGGCCCTGGAGAGGCATAGGCTGGGCATTGGGGCAGGTGGAGATGTCTGACCTGCTACACTGCCCATAATTCAGGGAGGAGGCACTGGCTGATGTCATTCCCCACTTCGGAAGCCTGTCAAGGGGGACAGACACCAGCCTGGAGAACAGCAGCCTTTGGTTCTGGCTTCGTAACTACTCTGCACTGGAATGATGGGGAAGCACTCAAGGTCCAAAGGCCAACGGGGGAGTCCCCTGGGGGACTTGGTGGGAGCCACCTGCTGGGAGTCGGCTCTCTCCACATAATCATCCATCACTAGCCCTGCCAGAAGTCACCAGCTATCATGGCCAACTTGGGCATAGCCTGACTCTATTGATGCCTGGAGCCTGGCACAGGGAAGCCCAGTGATCAGAGCGAGGCAGGCAAGAGGAGACAAGCAGCAGGCAGCTGGGGATTTCTCTGCCCACATCGGCTTCTAATTCAGGACCCAGTGCAAGATAAGAAGCAGGACAGTGGCTGGCTTGAGTCCAGCAGGGGGAGCAAAGGAGACCCCACATCTTGCTTCTCAGCCTCTCCCCCAGAGTCCTGAGGATCTAGGCACAACAGGGGGTAGTAAGAGAGAGGCAGGGAGGAATGCGGGGCCTGAATCAGATACCAGCTGTACACTCCAGGGCTCACACCCACAGCCACTTGCAGAGCGACCTGCGGCTCCAGCCGGCATATGTGCACATGGTGCACACACATGGATGCAGACATAGGGACATAGGAGACCTAGCACACAAACACACATGGCCACATGCATGTCCCTGGACTCCAGCTCTGATCATGAAGATCTCTTGGTCAAGTTAGTGACCCAGCATGGAGGGCAGGGCCCTGAGAAGTTACCAGGTTGAAAGGCAGAGCACTGGTCTGCACCCTACCTTTCTCACTGCTGCTGCTGCCAGGGCAGCCTACACTCTCCTCCCCACTCCACGGAGCAGCTGGGAGGAGCGGAAAGGGCCTGCCACCCCCGCCTGGCTGGAGCTGCTACCTCACTGATGCTGCTAAGATGCTTCCTCCACTGTGCCCACCGCTGTTGCCCAGGCTCTTTTGCCCTGGATGCTCCAACCACATCAAGAGCTAGGCCTCGGGGCTGGGGAGATGGCTCAGTGGAATAAGCATTTCCCTGGCAAGCACAAGGGCCTGAGTTCAATCCCTGGTTCCGAAAAAAAAAAAAAAAAAGAGCTAGGCCTCCATTCTCTCTATTCCTCCACTCACTTATCAAAAAGAAATGAAAGACCAGAAGAGGAGACCAGAGTAGGAAGGTCCCCTTGTGGTGGAGGTGGCCCCTTCTAGATCTTGCAGTGTGCTCAGAAGCTCTGGAACTGGAGGATGGCCTCAGCCCAGCAGATTCCCAGGCAGCCTGTGGTGCTCCCAAAAGAAATCCCACAACTGGGCCTTAGGAGGCCTGAACTGCAGGTCTGCCACAGACCAGCCAGACAACCTTGGACTAATCACCTCTAATAAGGCCTCCACTGTAAAATGGAGCCCACAACCCTTGCCTTGCCTGCCTTTGAGGAATGAGATCCTGGATGAGCAGATCCCAGAAAAGCAGACTACACAGGGGGAGGCTTTCTGTGAGACAAAGGTAGGTTTGTGGGCACAGTTCTTAGAGCTCCCAATAGGAAAGGGGCTGGGAAAGTGCTCAGGAGGGGAGCACAGGCTGCCTCTGTGAGGTGCTGGCCATGTGATCCAACCTGGCCTCCTCAAATCCTCCCAGTCATTTGGCAACAGAGATGCTGCCTTTGGGGCCACCAGGCCTTTCCCAGCCTGCCTCCAAACCTGATGCCAGGTAACAAGTGCATGCCTGGCCAAATGGCATGGAAAACTGGTTGAAGACACGCCAAGACAGGGATGCTAGACAGATACCCCTGAGATGACTGCCTGGGGCCTCCTACTCTGCCCCTGCCTACTACACAAGCCAGCAAACAGTCAGGGAGCCCAAGAACAGCCACAGGGGGACACCTGGCTTCTTCTGGCTCCCAGGCAGTCTTTAAATAGCACAATTACCATCTCAGCCTGCCGAAGCTGCCTCAACTCCCTGCACAATTCTAAGTAACACTCCCAGGTCCTGACTCAGAGGTGAAAGCTGTGAGCCCCACCCCCATCTCCGCAAGCATTTGCAAGGGGCTTTGCCCTGAGGACTGTGAAACGGCAGAAGAGGCTCAAGAATGAGTGGGCGAGTGGAGGGGGAGAGTGAGAGAGAAAGGAGGGGTCAGAGGCAAAGTAGGCCTCCGGCCTGTGAAACACCAAAAGGAGAGCTCAGAGGCCTTCAAAGACACCCCCATGTCCTCCTAACAAACAGGAAGGAGGGGTACTTGGGTCTGATGCTCCAGCTGGTTACAGGCCTGGCTCCCCACTGCCGTACCAGATGGCAGCCCCACCACCATGAGCCAGCTCAGCAAGGCCCAGGCTGCCGGCCCCTGTGGAGGCTGCAGGGCCAGGCCAAAGCGCCCGGAACTGCACTCAGGTCTGAGTGGCTGTAAGCTGGGCAGAGAGAGCCTGAGATGGGAACCCTTCAATGCTGAGGGGAAGAAGGGACGGTCACATACCTTCAACTTCAGGGAAGCTGAGGCCTGAAGAAACGAGAAGGAGGTGGTCGGCCAGGAAAATAAGAATGGGTTCTGGTGGCGGCGATCATTTACCAATATTTGCCACATGCTCAGGACTACATGGTCAGCTGAAATGTGGTTTTAATCCTCAAGATTCCTTAGGAGGATGGTGTAAGCTTTCCCATTTCAGAGACATGAGAACTGAGATTGCAAGACATATCCGCAAGTCTCCACAGCTAGTAAAAGCAAGAAGTTGGGTTTGCCTCTTCTGTCTGACTCCAAAGTGAGGTGGGGGGAAGCGGAAGAGGCAATGTGAAGACGGTATCCTGTCTCCTCCAAGGAGCTGAAGCTTTGGGCCACGGCCCTTCCCACTCTCGGCAGGGTGATGGCAGTCTGAGGACAGGTGGTCTTGGCCCTCTCTCTGCCCCTCCTCTTCAAGCCTGGGATCCTTTCTGCTGGGAACCATCATGGTCACAGCCTGGGCACTTTGCCTCCCAGGTCCCATCTGGCACTCACTGCATCTCCCTCAGCCCCTGGATCCCCCACACCCACCCCACATTCCCACAGGCACTACAGAGACAGAGACAGACGAGACATCCTTCCAGGCCACTGCTCAGGCTTTCACACACTACCCAGGGCCCACAGAACCCCCTCCTGTGCCCTGAGCCTGCCCACCTTTCCTCTCTCCCTGAAGCTGTTTCATTTCTCCCCTGCCCAGCTCAGCAGCCTAAGAACCCCAGCCCCGTCTCCAAGTCTTCTCCAAAAGCCCCACCCAGTCCCCTCCCCACTCACTCACTCCTGCTCACAGCTGGCTGCTCCCACCTGCCTGACCTTGCTTTCTCTCCTCTCTAGGGAACCTGGACCGCGGGTCTCAGCTCTTGTCGAGCACCACCTCCACCCCGGGCCTCTTCTGATTCCCTCCGATAGGTAAGATTTGCCCTTCCCTGGCTCAGTACAGCCCTTCCTTTGCACCTCTTTCTGGCACTTAGCTTACTTCACATCACCTCATCTGCAGTAAGAACCACATCCGACTTGGCTGTGGATGCTCTAGCTCAAGCCCTAACCTGAATGGAACCCGAGCGCATTTGTGTGACAGCGAGAGTGACTTCTGAAACATCCATCCCTAGCTGACTTCAAAGCAGAACTTCAAAAGAGGAAAACCTGGCTCCAAGTCTGGGAATAGGGTCATTTAACTTGCCCTCTGAGAGCTACATCTTCTTCTTGGAAGTAAGCAGGAGGCCACTCCTGTCTTGAAAGGCACATTCCAGCACAGGTGCATGAGTGTCCATAGAGGCTCCTCCCTGGTGAGACACTTAACTGTCTCTCTGTGAAATAGGGGTGATTTACGGACCCCACCTCAATCTGGCTGGCAGGAGGATAACCAGAATTACCATCCATAAGCACTGGGAATGGTGCCCAGCAGACAGACAGCATGCTCTCTGCTAACTGATAGCAGCTCAGTGCTAAGCACACTCCAAAGCGCTCAAGGCTGGGCCCACTCTAAATGCAATAAGGGGGAAAAAAAATCCATCTAGCCACAGGAATCCACTCTCAGAGAATCAAATCTCAGACAAGCTCTATTTCTCCCAGCTAGCTACAAAGGCAGCCAGTCCTCTGGACCTCCTACAAGACTAGCAGCAGGACTCAGCCTCTCTGGCTGAGGTCTATGGAGGTGGCAAATGAAGGCTGCAGCACCTAACACACTCCAGCAAACTCACAGGTTGTCATGAGGCTCAAAGGAAAGAAAAGGCAAGAAATAGTTTTGAGAAGGAGCACAGGCAGGCCAGGCACAGGTTGACACCAGCTGCTGGCTGTGGCCCTCAGTTCCCCCAATGCCATGTACTTTCTCAGAGGACACAAAAGGAGGAGCATCAGCTTACCCAGGCTCCTGGGGGCCTGAGTCTGTGCAGCTCAACTCTCTAGCTGCC